AGGAGCGGATAGACACCATCACCACCGCCTCGGCCGAAGAAGACACACCAAAGGCCGAACCGGTCGGAGACGTGGAAGATGTTCCGTTGGACGTCTCCCGGCCGGAACGCACGCTGAAGATTGGGACACAGCTCCCCCAACAGATCCGAAGGGACATCCTCTCTGTCCTGAGAGCGTACGCCATCGTCTTCGCATGGGGACCAGAGGACATGCCGGGCATCAGCCCAAAGGTAATCACACATCGACTATCGGTGAACCCGGCCTCCTCCCCCATCAAACAGAAGAAGCGCTACCTCTCGGCTGACAGGAGGGAGTTCGTCAAGGCCGAGGTGGCCATGCTGCTCTCCATCAGGCACATAAAAGAGGTGAAGTACCCCACGTGGTTGGCGAACGTCGTCCTCGCACCAAAGCCGCCCACGTTCAGAATGTGTGTTGATTACACTGACCTGAACAAGGCGTGCCCAATGGACCCATTCCCTCTCCCCAACATTGATCAGTTGGTAGATGAGACGGCGGGGTGCGAGTTGATGTCGTTCCTCGACGCGTTCAGAGGGTACCACCAGATATCCATGCACGAAGATGACGCGGAGAAGACTGCTTTTATGACCCCGGAGGGAATCTTTTGCTACCTCGTCATGGCCTTTGGGCTCAAGAACTCCGGCGCCACCTACACAAGGATGGTAGCCCGGATTTTTAGAGCAGTCTTAGGTCGGACGATGGAAGCATACGTCGACGATATGATCGTCAAGAGCAAACAATCCACAACCCATGCCGACGACCTCCGGGGCATCTTTGAGATCATGAAGAGGTACAACCTCCGGCTCAACCCGAAGAAGTGCACCTTCGGCGTCCAGGGAGGTAAATTCCTGGGGTACCTGGTCAGCCGAAGGGGCATCGAGGTAAACCCCGAGAAAATACAAGCCATCATCAATATGGAGCCGCCCCGCAACATCAAAGAAGTACAACGGCTGACGGGACGCCTTGCGGCCCTGAACCGTTTCCTTTCAAAATCCGCGGAAAAGTCGCTCCCTTTCTTCCAAATAATGAGAAAGGCCACTAGCTTCAAATGGACGACGGAGTGCCAACAAGCCTTTGACGAACTGAAGCAATATCTCGCCTCCCCACCCGTCCTATCCAAGCCCCAACCCGGCGAGACTCTCTTCCTCTATTTAGGAGTGAGCACGTCGGCCGTCAGCTCCGTACTCATCAGGGAGGATGACGGAGTACAAAAGGCAATATTCTACGTCAGCAAGACGTTGCGGGAGGCCGAGCTCAGGTACTCCCCCATTGAGAAGACGGTGCTGGCCATCGTCCACACGGTGAAAAAACTGGGGCACTACTTTCAGGCTCACCCCGTCCATGTCCTCACGCATCAGCCGTTGGGCGCCCTCATGAGGAGCCCAACCAGCTCCCCAAGGATGATCAAGTGGGCAATATTCTTGAGCCAGTACCAGATTGAGATAAAGCCGAGGCCATCCATCAAAGGGCAAGCCTTGGCTGACTTTGTCACCGAGTGCACGGCAAGGGAGACGGCCGTTACCACCACAGGAGCTGAACCGGACGAAGCCTGGACCCTCTACACAGACGGGTCCTCGGCCACCAAAGCTTGTGGGGGTGGCGTCGTCCTCATCTCCCCGGAAGGTTTCAGAGCATACTATGCCATTCGCTTCAACTTCAAAGTATCCAACAATGAGGCTGAATATGAGGCGCTCCTCAGCGGGCTCAGACTAGCCGCTGGCCTCAAAGCGCGCCACGTCAGAGTCAAATGCGACTCCAAACTCGTAGTGAACCAAATGGAGGGTTCCTACGAGGCCAAAGAAGGGAGGATGAAGCAATACAAGGAGGCCGCTGCGGAATTGCTCAAGGCGTTCGACACCTACGAGATCACTCAGATCCCAAGGGCGGAGAACGCCGAGGCCGACATCCTCTCTAAACTCAGCTCCGACACCCCTGAGCACATCTCCAAGATAGCTAAGGTGGAGGAGTTGAGCACGTCAAGCATTCACGCAAGCCCCATACTCTCCATACAGCACCAGCCGGAGGACTGGATCACTGACATCGCAACATACATCACCTCCGGCACGCTACCAGAAGACGAGGAAAGGGCCAAACTAGCCAAGCTCAGGGCCCCAAGCTATGTCATTGAGGGTGACAAGCTCTACAAGAGATCATACAACGGCACCCTCCTCCGGTGCTTACACCAGAATGAGGCCGAAGTGGCCATGGAAGAAGTCCACTGCGGCGTATGCTCATCACATCAAGGGCCCTTCAGCATGTCGCGCCGCCTCGTCGTCCAAGGCTACTTCTGGCCGACGATGGCGCGTGATTGTGCTGAGGTCGCCCGCAAATGCAGCGCATGTCAACACTATCAAAGGGCACCTGGCCGACCAGCCGTCAACTACGCCCCGGTAAGCACTGCCATCCCATTCTCCAGATGGGGCATCGACCTCGTCGGCCCTCTACCAAGAGCTGCGGGTAACAACAGATATATCATCGTCGCCATCGACTACTTCACCAAATGGGTCGAGGCCGAACCACTCGCAAGCATCACCGGAGCGCGGTGTCGAAAGTTCGTCTACAAGAACATCCTCACCCGCTTCGGTGTGCCTCAGGAGATCATATCTGACAACGGCACCCAATTTGAGGCCGAACCGTTCCAAAGCCTCCTCCAAGAATGGGGTATCAAGCACCGTTTCTCCTCCGTTGCCTACCCTCAGGCCAACGGACAGGTTGAGAACGCCAACAGAACCATCTTGGAGGGGTTAAAGAAGAAGCTCGAGGAAGAAGGCGGAAGTTGGGTCGACGAGCTCCCCAACGTCCTATGGTCCTACCGAACTACTCCAAGGAGGGCCACCGGGGAGACGCCATTCTCCTTGTGCTACGGCTTCGAAGCCAAGGCTCCCACTGAAGTCACCCTCCCCAGCCGACGGGTCACACAATACGACCCCGAAGCCAATGAAGAAGCAATGAAGATCGACTTGCACCTCATTGACGAAAGGCGGGAGATGGCCTACCTCAGAGCGGAGAACTACAGACGACAAGTAAAATCCTACTACGACGCCAAGGTCCGCTCACGCGAATTCCAAGTGGGGGACTACGTCCTCCGCCGAAGAGAAGCAAGCAAGCCGACGGAAGGAGGAAAGCTCGCCGTCAAATATGAAGGGCCCTACATCATCAGCGCCGTCATCAAAGCCGGCACCTACAGACTAAAGAACCCTAATGGATCAAATGTACCACGATTATGGAATGTACACCATCTGGTGAAATTTTACCAATAACTCGAGAAGTGGTGAAGCGGGCAACGTCCCCCACCCCTCGGTTTATCGGTTGAATAAAACACCCTCGGCCTAGCGCCACTTATTGAATAAAATTCATGTTTCATCCAATCTTTTAAGATTTGAGCAAAAGAAACCCAAGGACCGCATCGGCCTAAGCGGTGCAATCACCCAGAACCGATGCGACCTAAAGCCGTTGCAATAAACAACGCACCTAAAGCCGTTGCAATAAACAACGCACCTAAAGCCGTTGCAATAAACAACGCACCTAAAGCCGTCGCAATAAACAACGCACCTAAAGTCGTCGCAATAAACAACGCACCTAAAGCCGTTGCAATAAACAACGCACCTAAAGCCGTCGCAATAAACAACGCACCTAAAGCCGTCGCAATAAACAACGCACCTAAAGTCGTCGCAATAAACGACGCACCTAAAGCCGTCGCAATAAACGACGCACCTAAAGCCGTTGCGTAGTCAACGCACCTAAATATCGCATCAGCACAAGTGGTGAAACACCCAAATCGGCCGGCGATATGCAGGACGAAGGACCTGTGTGCATGGTCCGACGTCTTCAAACGGAGAAGCATACCGCGTCGTCCGCGCGAAAACCGCAGGACGACAGGCCTGAATTAAGGCTGAGGTTACAAAAACTCCACCCGTCAGTAAAATTTCGCTCAGGACCACAAAGGGCGGCCGTCAAAAGACGATGCCTAGTCCGGTCCCTCGTCGCCGATAGACGTGGAAAGGCAAAAAAGGAGGCCACTGACACACCAAGCCGAGGGCGTATTTACTCCCTCGCACTAATCCACGCGAAAAGCGTAGCGGACAAACCACCGCACATGGACGAAGGGACAGTAACCCTTCGACCACCTAAAAAAAAAAAAAAAAAAAAAAAGAGGGAAGCCGATGGACCGCGCACTCGCCGGCCTCGAGCAAAAAACAAAATCCCCACAAAAACCAGCCTCAAAATCGGCTAAGTACATATCAGGTTTTTACTATACAGGAATCCGAGGTACACGCTTCGGCCTCACCCGGATAAAGCTTCGCATCGTCTTAAGCAAGCAAGGCAGGTTTGGGTGCCCACACTTTGAAAAATTTCAAGAAACATCCAGGCTTTCTTGCACCAGCCGAGGGAACGCATCGTTCATACAACCGTATACACATAAATGCAACCAAGACGTTGCGACCTCTGGCTAAAAGATTCAACCATCCTAAACGAGCAAATCAAGTTTGATGTTGGCACTTAGAAAAAATTCTAAGGAAACTAGCCTACATCGACACATGGACGATGGGGCGCATCGTCTCAACCAAACACGGATGTATGGAACTGACACTTAGCAAAAAACGTGAGGATTAGAAAGTATACAAAAACAATGCGGTGAAGATGGGGATGCGGCCCTGAACCACCATCAGGAGCGCGCGCTTCGTCTAAAGATGCCACACCAGCAAACCACCGCATCATCTCCGACAAGGGACGCATATCCCTTGAGACATCGAAGGAACGCTTCGTCTCAACCAACCGAAGTATGTTCGCAAACACTTAGCCGAATTTGAAGAAGATGAAACTTATAAAGCATGGAGTACAGACACGATACGACACCAAAAGTTCATACTTCAAAAAGCTATGGAGACGGAGCAACAAACGTCTATACTTAGACAAAAAGAGATCTTTAATTGATAATTCAAAACATACAAGGAGGGCGCTTCGGCCGTTACAATCATCAGGGCGTTTCGGCCATTAAAGACTACTACAAATAAAGAAAGTAAACTAAGTACAAGAAACACTAAGCAGCTTGCCCTTGGCCACCCTCAATCGCTCCGCTGTCCGCATCGTCTTGCTCGTCCTCGGTATTCTTGGACCGCGCCGAGCTACGAAAGAGATAGTCATCACTCTCGGTCCAGGGCTCGTCCTCTTCATCCGAGCTCAGGATGGGGGGCTGCCTTTCGGACAGGGGAAGTTTTAACTCCTCCTCGGGGTCCTTCATGATCCGCGGAAGGCCGATACCCCTAGGCTTCAGGTTCTTTACACGCCGGCGGAGGCGGCGGTAAACCAACATCTGCATACGCCTCTGGCCGAGGTCGTACCAGACTTCAAACTCCTCTTTCAGGCGGGCTCGGCCAGCTTCCTCCTGAGACCACGCCTCAAAGCGCTCCGCCACGACGTTAAAGCTCCAATCGCGGCGGGCATCGTCCTTCCAACCTTCAGCCATGAACAGTTCAATGGCTCTATCAGCAGCCGCTGTCGCATTGGCCTCCAGCTTCACGGCTCTTTCCTCTGCCAGCCGACGTGCAGCCGCTTCCTCATCCAGCTGAACTTTGAGGCGCCTCGCCTCGTCCTCAGCAGCAACGGCTCTCCTTTCAGCCGCATCAGACTTTTCCTTCAAGGAGTCGGTCTCAACTCGGAGCCGATCCAACTGGGAAAGCGCCTCGTCAGCAGAAGCGGCTTTCTTCTCAACCTCCCTAAAACGAGCAAGCTCCTCGACTTGCCGGCGCTGCTGCTCCATCAGCATAAAAGCCCCCTGCAGAGACAAGTAATGGTCAGAAGAGGAAAAGAATGCAAAAATTACTAAGTACAAAAGCCGGATTTTACCTGGACAACGTAGTCCAAGCCGCCATCGAAGAGGCGCACATCCTTGCTCTGCCGCCGCAGGTACTCCCTATCGGCATCGGGAATGGCCTGGAACAAAACGTCGTGGCCAGACACCTTCTCGTTAAACAGCCCGCCCTTGGTCGGGTACCGCACCGTCACCTCATACAGGCCGGTAGCCGGATCTCGATCGGCGCGGGTGCTTCCTTTGGCAACAGCGCCAGGTTTGGTGGGGACTACGGCGGACGAGGCGACATTCAAAGTCAGATCCTCGATAACTGGCACGTCGGAGACAACTTCCCCTTGAACCGACGCCTGCACGTCGGCCATCGCGGCATCAAGGAGAGGAGGGTTCCGCTTCGTCTTTTTGGCACCCTGGGCCGGTATCAGACCCGTCTCGGCAAGGGTACGCTGACCCTCCTCAACGGCCTTCTTCCTCTTTACCGCTGGTTTCTTCGCCGCGTCGGCTTGAGATTTGGTCCCGTCACCAGAACCCTTGGACGCTTCGGCCTGTTGAGCGGCTTCCATCTCCTTGGCAACTTGCTTCTTGGCCTGGGCCATGAACATTTTGCGACTCATGGTGAAGTCTGCAGATGCAAAGAACAAAAAGAGTTAGAAAAACAAGCAGAGAAAATCACAAGGGGAGTCAAGGGCAAGAGATCAACCTTCGGCATCGGCGGGGACACCGAGGTGAGGCCCTTCGGCCTCCTCAAAATAACCAGACATCCTCGGCCACAGTCCACAATCAGGATCTCCGGGGATGAAGTACCGCATCATCCCAAGGGCGGCAATCTTAAACTCAGTAATATATTTATCTACACTCCACGGACCACCCTTCAGGAAGGCCTCCACTTGGGCATCAATCTCAGCACTCCTCGGCGGATTGTGCAGGTTAAAAACACCATTATGACCTTGAGAAGGGAAAAAGACCCCATCGGCCAACTTCACGAAACAAAACTTAGCCTTCCACCCATGAATCGATGAGGGAAGGTCAGTGAATGACCTCTTCTTCGGCAGTTGCTGGAGGGCCGCATAGCCAGCACAGTTCTCATGGCTCCCTCGGCCGATACGGTAAAGGTTCATGAACAAAGCCGTCGTCGGCTCAATCCCCAACTCATCGCATCGGAGGAGGAACCCGACGATAAGGGAGTAGCTGTTTGGGGTTAACAAGGCCGGCGGGAGATCTATCATACCCAGGTATTCCACCAAGAAAGGATGAAGGGGGAACCTCAAACCCTTAGAGAAGCTCATCGGATACACACCAAAGTAACCTGGGGGAGGATTTAGGACGTGGTCCGTCGGTTTGGGAGCCCTAACCCGGCCGTAAGGACCCACGTACAGCTGTGCCACCTGATATTCGCTTGGCGAACTCTCCGGCTTTATGACGTAGAGGTTGGTCAAATCCAATTGAGAAAGCCCGGATGCCAACCCTTTCCGCCGACGCAATGAGCGTCTCTTCACCGCCCCAGAGGACGACGCCCCACCAGGCACAGAGGAAATTGGGGGAGGGCAGGGGATAGCGGCCGATGAAGCATCACCCGCATCATCTTCTCGAAGCTTAGGCCCGGAACTCGCTTCGTCCTCACCTGAGTGGTGAGAACCCGCGTCGTCACTCAAACGTTCCTCGTCCACTGAGGTACGATAGTCTGCAGTATTCTCCATCTCCAATTCAAAGGCTGCCACGATGTCTAAATCCACTTGAGGAGACGCGTCGTCCTCGTCAAAAGGCCAGTCCGATTCGTCTAGGGAGGCTGTCAAATCAATAGGGGAAGGGACGCTACGGCCGTCAGGGAACGGCATGACAACTATCGCTACGTCCTAAGGGCGGTTCGAAGATCAAAGTGGTTTTTCCTACAAACACTAGATCTAACCCCCTAGGAAGCAAAATATAAAGAAAAGGAAGAACAAATTCAAGAATCTAACCTTGAACTTTTGAAGATCTGAAGAACACTTGACGATTTCTGGGAAGCACTTCTCTCTCTAAGAAATCTCAGCAGCAATTCAGCTCAACAAATCGCAAATGAGGGTAAGGCTTCGGAATGAGGGGGTATTTATAGAAAACTTCCAAACGGTCACTACACGTGGCGCCATCCCATTGGCTCCACCAACGGCCACCTCTCTTCCAACCAATCAAGGGGCGCCAATTCAAAATCACTCAAGCAAGCACCCCTACGGCCCAACCCGGCCTTAAAAAAGAACAGGGCATCGGCCGAGTATCACTACGGCCCAAGTACTACAGAGTTTCAAAGCAAGCGTCGGCCCATACGGCCGAAAAAAGAACGCATCGGCCTAAACTCAACGTCCTCACAACAACCCAAGGAACCTCAATAGACCGCTACGGCTGCTTGTGTGCGCATCGTCGATGATAACCCTGGCATTGCGGCCTTCGTCCAAGGGTTCTCCCACAGGGTTACCTTGGACAGGTTCGCCTAAGGGTTGGAGTCGCGACTAACGCATAGGTACCGAATCGGCTCATTACTCCCTTGTGCCTCAGATACTCTTCGGCCAAAGGAGTGGGGGACTGGGGGACTGCATCGGTCACAAGAAAAAAAACGCAACGGCCTTAATGCAAAAAGGATGCGCTACGGCTCACCAACAACAAAAGACGGGCAATTCGCCTCAAAAAAGCATTAAGAGTCGCGTCAGCTACCTCAATGGCGTTGCGGGTCACATCGGCCGCAGAGCCCAAAATGAAAAACCCAAAATACAAAACCTAAGCACGCAACGGCTGCGCACACTGGGGGACCGCATCGGCTCACCATAACAAAAACTCACAAGTCAAAACACTTTGGCCGCATAACAAATCAAAGGTGCGCACCGCATCGTCTACATAAATGGAATCAACCATCTCCATCTCATGAAAATATGTTACCGCTACGGCCAAAAGAATGGATGGGAGCTCTTCGGCCCCAACAAGATGACGACGAAAGCATGCCAACTTATCCACCAAGGATTCATCGCATCATCTACAAAAAAGAAAGCGCATCGCCTCGTCTTCAAAGGCACTTCCACAGAGTGTGCATCGGCCCGCACCAAGGCTATGAGTTCCCAAGCACGCTTCATCTACATCAAATAAGGGAACCGCTTCATCCAAAATCGAAGCAGAAACTCTTCGGCCAGCAAGCACCTTAGACTCACGCAACGGCCAGCCAGAAAGGAACAAGTACTCCCTTTCGCTTCGGTTTCACCTCAGCTCAGAGAGTGGGGGACTCCTGATAGAGTATATGGGCCTGGACCCCATGGCCCACATACTCAACGGCCCAAAAGACACCAGCGGGACACCCGCATCGTCCAGAGGCACGTAGCGTCCAAGAGAGAAGATATCGCCTGATTTCTATGGACCGCGTCGTCCATGGACCGCGTCGTCCATGGACCGCGTCGTCCATGGACCGCGTCGTCCATGGACCGCGTCGTCCGTAAACCGCTTCGTCCGGACTTCGTCCGGGCAGAATGTATTTTCCTATTTTTTGTACTAAGTGTTGTACTCAGCCCATTAGTGGCCTTATTCGCCCAAAGAAGGCATGATTATTGTAATGGGCCTCCTAAGCCCAAGGCTAGGGGCCCAAATCCACATTTTTACCTATAAATAGACCCCAAGGGGCTAATTATAGGGGGTTCCAAATTGAGAAATATAATTACTCACTTTCTCTCTCTAGCTCTCACTTCTCTCTAGAATTAATACTCTATCACTATTATTATGAGTTTTTCTCGCATAGAGAATAGCTATTTGTAGTCACAAAGTCAAGTTGTTCACAAATCCGTGTGGTCAATTTATTTGTTTTCAGATAAACGCCATTGTTAATGTCTTAAGTTTATTATTGTCCAATTATTTGAATCAAACTTAATGTATAAGCTAACTTGTACAAAAAGACATTTTTTAATGGGACACAACATTCATCTTGATGAGGGATGACGATTAATTCTTGTATTGGTTACTATACACTCCCTTGTATCTCATATATACTCCCTCTGTCCCTGAAAGAAGTTCCATTTTACTATTCATTGGTCAACTTAAATCACTCTTAATCTCTTACTTTTTATATCAAAATTTTATAAAAGTTGAATTATTTTTTGCAGGCTTTGTAGCGGGTTTAATGTAGTTTCTGAATATGTAAATTTTATTTACTAATAATAATCCGAGTTTTCACAGGGATCATTTAACTTTATCGTCGGTCAACCTCGTAATCCGCAAATGGAACAACAATAAGGGACGGAGGGAGTACTAGTATAGTACCCGTGCGATGCACGGGAAGATAAATTTTAGATAAAAAAATTGTTACAAAAGAATAATTATGCAAAGAGAAATATATTTATCTCTTTAATTTCTATTTTTTCTTTTGAAGAAGTATATTAACTTGAAATTATTGCATTAAATGTAACAAAGTCGCATACATATTTTTTCCCAACTTCCTATGTTCTGAATGAACGTGAGGATTTTATTTGGTTAAACAATACCTCAATCCTACTGTATTATTATACTTCCAAAATTAACATTTATTACTTTAAGAACAACTCAGAGAAATCTTAACTTAAAACTCCAACGGTAGAATAGTTTAAGCAAAATTGGATCACATAAATAAGGTGTTTATCTGTATAATCCTGGATTAAGTTTATAAGTTATACTACGTACGTACAAAATGGTGTAGTAAAAAGTAGAAGCATGCCTATACTAAAATGTCAAAAGTAGCAATAAGATGAAGATATAAAAAAGAAGCAAGTATTCTAAAGGAATAAGGACACAAACATTAGATAATGCTTTCGTGAAATACAAAATGACTGCTCTTCATTTCCCAAAAAATATTATTAAACTTTTGTTTAATTAATTCATCATTTGTTTATTATTATTATTATCAAGGTGACAACTCCGGTACCTTTCTAAAATATGGGGTACCGTACCTATCATTCATTTGATTGGATCACATTACTTTATCATTTTTAATTTAGATTTAAATAATTCAACTGCTACACTCTCATTGGTTCATGTGGGCAAAAGTATGACACCTTATGGGTATCACAGAACCTACCTATTATCAAATCTTTAGCCTGCTCCCTCGCACCTGCCTTGCCCTGCCATGATTGGATCTGCTGCCGGTGTCCACTGCCAAAACAATCACCATTGAAAAGGATTAAAGGAATTACATACGGTGTATTAAGGTTTTGTGGGTTAGTTGCTCTTTTAAAATTTAATCCCAATCCCTCGAAAAGATGAAACCACTTGGTCACTCATAACCACAAAGATCATTACATAGATTAGTAAGCAAATAGTACGTATGTACCAAGTATTTCTTAAATGAAATAAGAAATATCGCATGGAAATGCAAATGAATACCGAAGGCCCTCTTTAGCATTATCTACTCTTCAGCCATGCCACCATTAATAATGCATTGGAAATGATCATTATCACTTGGCACTGGAAACTCAGTTATAAACAGAGTATTCTTTTTTAGTCCTAAGACACAGCACACACATTACGTATTACTACTTACGTATTTTTTAGTGCCAACATATATACATACATGCCTATGTGTTGTATTCAATGGCATTATTAATTCAAATTTAAAAAAATTACAACGGATGCAAATTGATACACAACATTGTATAAATTCTTCCAAAGTTCTCTATGACCTCCTTTCCTTGAGAATCAGATGAAGATGATCCACTATAGTTAAAAGATCGGGCTTTTCTTTTAATTTATATTGAAATTTTGAGTCAGTAAATGGACTGACAAAATTAAATGCATATTAATCTATACAAATTCTTGCAAAATTCTCTATGTCCTCCTCTCCTTGATCTCCCTTTCTTGCATCGAGTATTTGAGTCACTAAATGGACTCTTAAAAAAAATAAAGACCAGTTTTAAAATTTAATCTGAAATTATAAATTGAAATATGCTCTGAGTGATACTTGTTCAACGCTGAGGGCAGAACCCAAATCCTGTAGGTATTCCTGAATGAGCAATTAAAACACTTTACCCTAGCTTGCTGTCTCCATCAATAGAAGGGCCGGCATGTGACTCATAGAAACAAAGAAGAAAAGATTTTACCGGGATAGAAGAACCGATAAGGGATAAGGGGAGAAGAGAAGTCGGTGAAGATTTCCGTCACACAGCTTTTGCTAGACGATTTTGGATTGGCGATACAAAACCACGCACTATAAATAAGCCATGCCTCTTGAAGTAATAACCCTCCCTATAATTTATGTAGTGTTAGTGTTGTAGTGGTGCATTGGGAATTCCAAAAGTCTAGCCAGTAGCCACTTTGATCGGCCAATTGAATCCGGAGTACCCAATATACGGAGTCTAGATTTTGTTTGCTGGTTAGCCGCCCAAATTAAATGCATTGGCTTTGCCGAGAAAATACTCCGTATAAATTAGAAGCTCGAAATTTAAACTCAAAGTTGATCGGTCAAATAATCAATGAATCTCGCTGATCAAGAACGAAATACAAAAAAAAACTAAAAAAGAAAAGGGACAGCTACAGTGTTCCCGCCCAAAATCTTCTCCCCACTATTTTGTTATTATATATATACTACCTCCGTCCCGTTGGAATGTTCCCACTTTCCTTTTTTGGATGACCCAATGAAAAGTTCTCATTTCCCTAAATGGAAAGTTATTCTACATCAAAACAGTGTCAAACAGTGCAAAACAGTGTCAAACAGTGTCCAAACAGTGTCCAAACAGTAAAATTTACCCCCTGGTAAGTTTATTTCCTTAATATGTGTGTAGGTCAAACCGGGAACATTCCAACGGGACGGAGGGAGTAATAATATATATATATATATATATATATATAGATATATAGATTGTTTCTCCCTCAAAAATATAACCATGGAACTGTATATCACAATCATCACCATCCTCGCATTTCATCATCATTTATTCGCTTGAGGACACTTGAACTTCTCTTCATATTTACATTTCTCCACCCCTCACTTACTTAGCCTCTTATCTAGCATAGATAGAATTTTTTACTTTTCTTTCATGAATGAAAGGTTAGAAGGTTATCAATTTCTCCGTACAAAAGACATGTTGTGTCCATACCCATCTGTGTTGAAAGCTTTACATTAGAGCATCTCCAATGATACAATGTGCACGGTGCACACATGATATAATAGATAGCCACATAAATATTAGTAAATAAATTCTTTCTCTCCTTATTTAAATTATTTTATACAGTATTGATAAGTTTTTCTCCACAATGTCAAGGAGACCGTCTAGATGTTGACATTGCAGAGAAAAATTTACTAAAATTGAATAAAATCATTCAAATTAGGAGAGAGATAATTTATTTGCTAATATTTATGTGGCTATCAATCATGCCACATGTGCACCGTGCACATTATAGCATTGAAGATGCTCTTAAAATGCTACATGAAAAATATGTAAATATTGAAGTGTTAGATCGGGTTATCATTAAATATAGAGTCGTAGATGCATATAAAAAAAGGAAAAGCTTTGTGTATATATGTAATTTAGTTGTTTGATCATAAAACTAGTAGAAAATGTCATATTTCAAAAAACTAATCAAAAACTCTTTTATTTGCGGCGTTTCTACTTCAGCGTTTCGTCAAAAAAAACGTTAATGTTGAACAGTTATTTATACATCAAGTTTTTCACTTATTAAAACACTAAAAATGATCAAACCCTCATTTTTCGGCTGAAGCGCCATTTATCAAACACCCGAATAACTGTAATTAATTTCATGATTTTTTTGAAACACCACTTTTTAAACCTAATAACAAATGTCCATGAGCCTTGGCATTTTCCTATTTTTACTTCTAATTCATAGCCGTTGGTTTATAGTGAACGGCATCCGCAAGTTTATTCAGCAAAGGCAACACCAAGTCCACCGCCGACTGCGGGGCGCTTACAGAGGATTGAGACATGAGTGATTGCGGCGGCACTCCAATATCCGATAAGATGGTTTCTCCGGACGAGGCTCTTCAGATTGTGCTCAGTGCAGCTCATCGCCTACCGCCAGTTACGTTACCGCTCCACCAAGCTCTAGGCAGAATATTGGCCGAAGATATCACTGCTTCTGACCCTCTTCCTCCTTATCCTGCCTCTATCAAGGTCCGTCTTCCCCTCCCACACACACAAACACTGCACAATATAAATGCTAGAGTGTTTCATTCTGTTCGCTAAATGATGTTAGAATTTTTAGAATTTAAGGTTCCACGGACTTGTTTTTTGCGTCTTCAGTCATCCCAGATTCCCTAGACATATACTGTTTGCAAAATTAAACAACAATTAATTTATCTGCAAATGAGGTCGAATAGATGGCAAACTTTAGCTCCATTGAGATGATTTCACCTGCCAGCTACTTAAATGAATGATTTGTGGATCCATATGTTTAATGTGTTGAGTTTTCATAAATGGGGCTCGTTAAGTTTGCTACATTATTTGCCAGTATAATAAGCAATGTGGACCTGTTCACCTTTTGATTTCTAGGATGGATTTGCAGTTGTTGCATCTGATGGAGTAGGTGACTATCCTGTAATCACTGAGTCAAGAGCGGGAAATGATGGACTTGGTGTGGTTGTGACTCCTGGAACTGCTGCATATGTAACAACTGGAGGTGAGCTAGCTGTTATAGGCATGTATATGCATTTTATTAGACTTGTGGGCACACATACTTTTACTATGCCCTGCACATTGCAAATTCTGGGAAGCGCGTATTCTGACAATATGACATCACCCCTTAAGTTTACAAGTTTTGATTGTATTTGCTTTAGCCTACTGCAAAACTCCCCTCTTGTGTGGTCGAGATTGCTCATTTGCCTTGCATATAATAAAATCTGATCTATTTTCACGCACGAACAAAAATTTGAACTTCCCTCTGCAGTCCAATTTTCTTTCCTTTCACCCTCTTTATTTGGGAGAACTTTGAAACTCACGCCATATTTTTTTTATTACTCTTACTAATAGTCGCACTAAAAGTAAAAATCTTATGGATGGCATGATCTTGTGTGATTTTAGGTCAGTTCTTAATCTGTTTTTTGTCACTTAATCTAGAAATTTACAGCCCTTTTGGTAGTTAAAAGCGCCCATCCTTCTTATCCTGCTTATATGCTGAATAAGTAGAGTAATCGAATAAGTAGCTATCTACTTACTTATGGGCTGAAATAGATTTCACAAAATGCTTTTGTTTAAAAAATGAAATTCCGCACATCCAGACATCTAAACCAAATAACCTTGCCTGATGGGCTCTTAATATCTGAGGCGGAAAGACATTCTATTATTGATTGTTCTGGATCTGAAATAACCTTCTTTCCAGGACCAATACCTGATGGAGCTGATGCTGTTGTACAAGTAGAGGACACTAAATTGTTGTTAGATGCTTCAAATGGATCAAAGCGAGTACAGATATTGAAGGGAACTAGTCCCGGAGTTGATATTCGTCCAGTGGTATAATCTCTTGGTACTTTACACGAGTCATATTACTCCACCATATTATGATTACCCAGAATGGATCAATTGAGTTATACGCCTTCCGTCCCCAAAACAACTTCCCGGTTTGACCTACACACATATTTAGGAAATAAACTTACCAGGGGGTAAATTTTACTGTTTCGACACTGTTTGACACTGTTTTGCACTGTTTTGATGTAGATAATTTTCCATTTAAGGAAATGGGAAGTTAAATTAGGGACATCCAAATAAGGAAAGTGGGAAGTTGTTTCAGGGACGGAGGGAGTTATACTATAATGGAAATTTCATACTATAGTGTGTTTTTTCCTTAAAACTTCCTTCATATCCGCAATTCCCGACACACTTCAAAGTTCAAAGGTCTTTGGCTAACACATAACAAATGGATGATATAGGAGGGAAGGGAAATGAGTTATTTGACGGCTCAATCACCACCACCTCCACCCATTTTTGTAGTGCACCAGTGGGTTCATCTGTTAGGAAAATGGATGATTATGAGCTCATATGACTATAAAAGATTCATATATGGCTCTTTAAAAATTTTGATGGAAGCGTGAGAGTGGATTAGTTAGTAGCTCAAAAAATGAAGATAAAAAGTGTACTCGTATTCGATACCTTTTTTGTAATTATTAATATAATTATGTACATGATAATGATGATTAATATAATTATGTACATGTTAAAAATATAACAAATGTATATGTATGAATGTATCATGCTAATGTACCAAAACACTCTTGATATTAGAAAATGAAGCAAAATTTAAGAAAAATAAGTCTCTCTATAAAATTTCCCCAATTTTGGATAGTAGGATATGATGAGTTTCTGCGAGTTTATAGCTCCCCCACTCCCCCCTACCCCCAACTCGTCCAACCAAACAACACCATACCTTCACTTCCTTCCTGTCCCCTCACAAATCTTCCAACCAATCATGGGCATAATCTTTTAGCTGAATTAATAAACCAAGTCAACTTAATTCCTTCAGATTGAAGGTGATGTACTGGAGGGGGGAAATGCACTATAAAAAGAAAAAGCTTGTTCAAATATTCAAATAATGTATAAAACCTCATTGAAGATAAAGTAATATCAGTGAACCTGAACGGCATAATTACAACCTAATTACCTAATAAATTGGAGCCATTATTTTCAATTACATCAACACTTGTTAAAATTTGTTGTAATCTCATATCCTGACATTTTCTATGTCCCTGAACTCTGAATTATTTCTGCATACATTTTAGGGATCTGATATTGCAAAAGGCGATATAGTATTGAGATCTGGTGAGCGTTTGGGGGCTCCAGAAATTGGTTTACTTGCCACAGTTGGGGTTATAATGGTCAAGGTATTTATTTTTCTTTTCGTGTTCTCACAGAGTCGTCATAGCGCCTCCTTTCCCCCTAATTTCTTAAAGAGGTTCTATATACTTTTTTGCACAGTGAAGATATTTCTAGTGGATGTTTATTTCAGGTGTATCGTACTCCTACAATTTCTGTCCTCTCCACAGGTGATGAGCTTGTTGAGCCAACTGTTGGATGCTTAGCCCGGGGTCAGGTGGGAGAAACTCTTATCTATTCCTTGAAACTGCTTGCCTTGGCGATACTATGGTGTGTTAGACTGCCAGACTGCCATTTATTTATCCATTGTTAAAGTAGTTGAAGTCTCAGACATTATTTCATGCCAGAATGTATAGTATTATGTTATGTGTTTTTTTAAATTTGGGATATCTTTTTGAAATCGAATGTGGTTTAACATCATGAATTCATGATATGCTCCAGTAAGTTAATTTCTTGTTGTTGTTAAAACGTGCTATGCCTCCCAACCCCAACCCCCCACCCCCCACCCCCAAAAAAAAGAAAAAAAAAAAAACTCTTTTCTGCAGCTTGTATCATCCCTTCCTTGCCTCGGAAGTTATTTAAGAAAAGTTTGTCTAGAATTTTTTGCATATGTTTCTGGTATGAAACATTGTAAATTTGTAACCCTTAAAAAGAACTTATCTAGTAGTGTCATGCTGATTAGATTACGAGGTTCTGTCTAATATGACTCATGCATTTCGGCTTTGCAGATAAGGGACTCCAACCGTGCAATGATCCTTGCTGCTGCAACAGAGCAGCAATGCACAGTTGTTGATCTTGGTATAGTTTGTGATGAGGAACAAGAGATTGAAAAAACTTTAGAAAGTGCATTCTCTTCCGGAATCGATATCCTTCTGACTTCAGGAGGTGTTTCAATGGGAGACAGGGATTTTGTCAAGCCTTTACTTAAAAAGAAGGGAAAGTTATTCTTCCAGAAGGTAATGCAGTTAATGCTAAACTTTTTTTCTCTTCAGATGCTTGGGTGTCAGCAACTGATTTCATTGAGTATTCACCTAACTGCTTCTTGTGTAAATTTGGCATCTGATATCCACATTAACGTTACAAAACTAATTACTCAAATTGAGTCTTACTGTCATCGGCACAATGTTCAGGTACATATGAAACCTGGAAAACCTCTTGTATTCGCTGAAATCCTTTCCAGATCTACTGACAAGACAGCCCACAAGATTTTGGCATTTGGTTTACCTGGAAATCCAGTGGGCTGCTTGGTCTGTTTCCATCTTTTTGTGGTGCCTGCTATTCGACATCTCTCTGGATGGAGAAACCCTCACCTTCCAAGGTTTCCTAAAGTTTATCAAATGACTTTTCTCTCCTGTAAAACATGCAGTTTGTTTTTTGCTCTATTGAGGGTTTCTTATGAAATTCCATTGCACAATGTGTAGAGTACAAGCTCGGCTCAAACAGTCAATAAAGCCAGATCCTGCTCGCCCTGAATTTCATCGTGCTGTTATCAGCTGGCAGTCGAATGACGGATCTGGCCTTCCTGGGTGAGAGAATTTGTGTACGCATGTTTTTTAGATTTGTTTCCAACTTCTAATTACTCCTTTTGTTCCAAATGGTTCTTCCACATTCCTTTTCAGGCCGCCTAAGAAGCTCTTCTTATTTTGTTTTAGAAATAATTATTTTGCGTTCTTAATAAATTTCAACCACACAATTCTCTGCCTAAAAGCATTGTAAAAAACAAAAGGAAAAACATTATGGGGCAGAGGGGTACTGCACATGAGTTTTATCTCCTTACTGGATGAGTTCCCATATCTATTCATAGTCTATATTATCGTAGCACTGTGTAATGGTAAACTGTGTTTCACATGTATAATGAATTACCTTCGGCATGCTATGCAGCTGTAGTACATGTCCATCAAAAGATAGCATTGTTCTTTGAGGTTCATTCACATTTCAGTAAAAGTTGATAGGCTGAGCGATAAAATTACATTACTTTAAACTTTCTCCCGGCTAAGACTTCAAAAGTTTGCAGTATTTTCTGCAAAAAAATATGACTCTATGTAGGTCATTAGGAGTTCAAAGCATTTGTATGTCATATGAAATGAATTGGAGAACAAAAGACATCTTGTTGTAACCTGTAAGAAGTGCATAATTACTTGTTCTATTTATGTTTCTTGATGATTTTCAGGTTTGTTGCCGAGAGCACAGGTCAGCAAAGAAGTAGCCGACTATTAAGTATGAAGTCAGCAAATGCCTTATTAGAAGTGCCTGCATCCAACAGCTCAGTTCCTGCTGGCACTTCTGTGGGTGCAATCGTGATTTCCTATATAAGCCATATCTCAAGTGAGAGTACCCCGCAATCAGCACAGCCGGACTGTCCAGAATTAGGGTATAGGCCACAGGAAGTGAATGCTTGTGATCCTCAACCTTCTGGATTCAGAGTAGCTATTCTCACTGTTAGTGATACTGTGGCTGCTGGGAAAGGACCTGATCGGAGGTATTGGGACCACATTGATACTCCATTCTTAAAACTTTGTGTTTCTCAGCCACTTAGAAGCTGGATTTTTCATTCATTTTGATTTAATTTTGAAACGTTTTTACACTTTTGATTTTTTTGGTTTATTCTTTATGTACTATTTGTTGTATTATTAAATCACAAATTTACTTCATGGTTCTCTATAAAACCCTGTTTTATAATTTTAAGCATGAAACTGGTGCCTTTTCTCACTATTGTACCCTTAGTTCATGAATTAATGTCTTTTAGGATCGTTCTGAGATCATATAATTTAGGTGATATTCTGAATACGATAGTTTATGAGCTAATGTTTCTTTAATGGATAGATAAGATATGAATTAAGATTTATTTGTTTCATTGTGCATTCTAATTTTTATATTGTGTTGCTGTGTGGCCGAGAGGTCATGGGTTCAAGTTTGGGTGCGGTATCTTGTCAAAATAACAAGGGAAAGATTGGTCCTTATACACCCTTGAGGTGGGACCCTTACCCGGACCGTCATCTTGCGGGGATGCCAATGTGCACCAGCCTGCCCCTTATTGTGTATTCTAATTCTGCTGCTTATTAGTTATAGGATTATAGCCACATATCAGCATCTCAAAATATTTGGTTCACAGTATACACCAATTCTCTTTGATTAATCTGGAATGTGGGCATCGAGATACACCTTTTCGGATTGTTATTCCAAAAGGGTCACTTTAGTGATGCAAGAGAAATATTGCAAAGTTGATACTTGATATAACTCCTTGGCTAAGAGGAACTAGCGGGTAATGCATTCTTTGCTACAAGTTTTCTCTTAGATAGATAAGATGTTAGAGTAAGATTTTTTTTATAGATGTTAGAGTACGAAGTGTACACTTCATTGCGTGTTTCAGTAATTCTGCTGTTTAATTGTTATAGATAGCCGTACATTATTAGCTGTAATATTGGATTCACGGTACACTTCATTTCTCTTTGATTAAATTTGAAACGTGTGCATCAAGATACACCTTTTAGGATTGTTATCAAAAAGCTTTAGCAATGCAATAGAAAGCTGCAAGTGCATATTACTCTTTGGCTAAGAGGAACTTGTGAGTACTGCATTGTTTGCTACAAGCATTTGATTTTCTTCTTAGTGTAATTTTATGAAGATTATCTTCATTAGTAGTGTTTTCTCTCTAGATAGCATGCATAAGGATGGTTATATTTTCTCTTTTCTCTTTTAACTGGTGAGATCTTGATTGACTGGGGGGAGAGGTCCTTGTAAATTCTTTTGGTTCTTGGGACAGACCAAATCTATTAACTAAAAACTTTATGCTTTGATGTATCCAGTAAAATCTTAATTGGTCTTTCAGTTAAGCATCTCGTCATTTGTATTTGAGAAAGTTGCTTATTAGCATCAAGCATTATCTATGTCTTGATCTTGGCACTAAGTGCCGTCTTTCATCATGCTCAAGCAAAACGTTAGATGTGGTTTAGCCATGAGCCTAAGAAACATTTATCAAAACGTGTTCTAAAATTTTACTAGTTCAAACCTTTACATTTTTATCCATTTAGAGTGCTGGATTAATTTATCTATTTAAAATTTGGTACTGATGTTTGCTTAACACAATGGGTCTACTATGCTTATCTGTCGTCTTCTATCAGCTAAGTAACTATTTTATCCAATCTCTGTAAAATATAAATTCTTCTTTTTTATTACATCCTTCAGTGGTCCACGAGCAGTTTATGTTGTTAACTCATCATCTGAGAGACTAGGAGGGGCAAGAGTAGTTGCAACAGCTGTTGTTCCAGATGACGTGCAAAACATTAAGGATATTTTACAGAGATGGTGTGATATTGACAACATGGATCTTGTTCTTACCCTAGGTATGTTTGAACTATGGTGTTCTGTGGCTCGAGCAAGATTTTCTGTCTCATTTTTGCTTGTACTGGATTTTTTCTGCCACCACCAGATTCAGCTTGGTAGTTGCAGAACAAGTTTAGGCAGGGAGCTAATTCCTAAGATATACTTTATTCCTCGGAATTAGCTCTTATTCCTTGTTTTTTTTTAGTTTTGCCTATTCTAGAAATTGGAGTCATGTAATGCCTTCTCTATCGGCTTTACCTAATCCCAGTCCTCCCAGATGTAATTTCATTTAATTTAGCTATTTAAGTAATTCAATTCCCTCCAATATCAATCGAAACGAGGTCACAGTTTTTGAAATGGCTGTTTTTATAAATCAGGTGGGACCGGTTGTACTCCAAGGGACAATACTCCTGAAGCTACTAAAGCTTTGATTCAGAAAGAGACACCCGGTCTTCTGCATGTCATGATGCAGGAGAGCTTAAAGGTAAACGAGAAAATGATCTCACTTGAAGTAATTCTTATTTATTGTACTTTTCATGACTAATGCGATATTTGCTAAAGAAGGGTGTGCCCTGTGGGCCAAGTTCTTTCAGTTGAATTTCTATTCTTTATACGTACCTTGAATCATATGCTATTCAAGGGATTTATGACTCAACCTCAAATTCTAATCTGGAAACGAATTTCACATATTACTTGCATAGATGTATGTGCAATGAAGGTTCCATGAAGTGTTTTTTTATCAAATACTCTTGAATATAATTTTTATATGAACCTAGTTAAAGGCATACTGAATATTAAGGTTATTTTAACATTGCTTGATGGTTCATAGCTTAGTTGAACAAGTTTGAGGTATCTTTATTTCTTACGTGTTCCAGAACAAAAGAAAATCATATGAAACGTGAAAAGGTCTAGCTCGAGTTTTTCATTTTAAGCCTTCTTTATATTTTTCAGCAACATGAGAAATAATCTGTAATACAATGGAATACCTCTTTTTGCATAATGTTTGAACTGGAACCTCGAGCAATAACATACAATTCCCTCATAAACTTCTTTTACTCACTAGTTTAGAATCTATTGGCGTTTTCTTGATATCAAACTACTATCAAAGTAAAATTGAACATGGGTAGTTTTCATGGTCGCTCTTCTGTATTTAATGACTCCTTTCTAGTTTCTCCCTATGTCTATATTTAATTTGATTGCTATTCTGGTGACAACTGTAAACAGGTCACACCATTTGCAATGCTCTCTCGCTCCGCAGCCGGCATTAGAGGGTCAACATTGGTATGGCAATAAGTTGATTTGTACTCCTTCCCCAATTCCCCTCCCCATTTTAGGCCACATTTTTTGTCCCTATATTTGTCATTTTAAGAAATAAGTGCATGTTTGTCCCAAAATAATTTCCCAATTCTGCCCTTATTGACTTTTCTCGTATTGGATCTTTTTGTGTCTTGAAACTAGGAAAACGTATTTAATGTTGAAGATGTAATGTTCCTCAAATATGTGCACTTTTCCAAAGCGTCAATTTAATGGGATGGTGAGAATGTTAAGAAAGTGCAAAGGAAACATCAAAATGACTAAATGTTATACTTATTTACATATATTTTGAATTCCAGTCATTATAATAGAAATAAATTCCATAAGGAATTTTATCAATTCAGGACCTGAAAGATAGATTAATTATCAATCCTGGACCTGAAAGATGAAACGTATCGGTATAGGACCCAAATGATGGAAAACTATCAATTTAGGACCTAACATTTCATAGGTTTTGATTTTTTAAGTTTTTATTAATTCCACTACTAATTTTTGATAAACTTATCTTCACAAAAGTTTATTAGTTTAATAGAATTAAATAATATTTAATTTTTTTTTAAATAATAATAAAATAAAATTTATGACAACTTAGGTCCTAGAATGATAGTTTTCAATCATTCAGGTCCTAAATTGATAGTTTTTCATGATTTGGGTCCTATATCGATGCATTTGATCTTTCAGGTCCCAGATTGATAATTCGTTCATCTTTCGGGTCCTGAATTGATAATTACATTTATTAAGTTTGAGCAGAATCTTTAGTTTCTCCCTCACCCCAATTGTTCTTTCATTTCCTTCCTGTATTCCTCAATTTCTTTTCCGAGTATTTTCGTAGTTCCAAACGTGCTCTAAATCTTGCATAGTTGCATCCGACTCCGTGGAATTGATTTCCCTCTTTATAAGCCCCATTTTTGTATATGGAAAGGGGAAAATGTAGTTTGGCTGTGCCAAAGAGTCAATCCTCTTTTATTACTTTCTATTGCCAGTAACCATGGCAACCAAACACAGCGTAAATTCATTTCGTGTATGTTGATATTACCGTGTCGGATAATCTTCACAGATTATAAACATGCCTGGGAATCCCAATGCAGTTGCCGAATGCATGGAGGCACTACTCCCTGCACTTAAGCATGCATTGAAACAAATCAAAGGCGACAAGCGAGAGAAGCATCCTCGACATATTCCACACGCAGATGCAGCTGAAGTTCCTGCAGATACTTGGGAGCATAGTTACAAGTTAGCTTCCAGTGTTGGTGAAGAGCCCTCTTGTTCATGTTCACACTGAAGGTTTTATCGCATCCAGGCAAATCATAAAGCCTATTATTGTTATGAGATGTAAAAAAACGTGGACATGTTGATGTTTAGATATGATCTTTTTCTGTTTAGGTAAAATATAGTTTTGGTACCTAAACTGATCCCTTAATAGTACATTATTTTGGCAAATGTAATTCCTAATTGTATCAAATTGTTGTATGTCTAGTCATCTGATCTAGTATTTGAGGCTGTGTTTGTTTCTATTGAGCATGCATTTATGCTTCCTATTTGCGACTTGCGAGATTGTGTCAAGTTCTATTTAACTCAAATGAATATAGAGAATGAATCTTGACCCTGTGCGGCTGAAATGATATTACTGAATTGGCGGCTGAAAATGTTCTATTTTATGATCTGAAATTTTTACTCATTTTAATGCATGAGCTTTGCATGATCAGTTTTTGCTAATCAATGTCCTAAAGCCCTAAAAGCTTGTGACCTATTTAATTCGGAAACGTATAGATCAAAACGGAAAATAAATAATATACCCCGAACTTTGCCTTAGTGTGAGCTCCCCACCCCGAACTTGTCCTAGTTTAAAAAATACCCCCAACTTTATTTATTTAAATTTTTAATTTGTACCATATTTTAATTAACAAATAATATTTCTCAATTTATAATATGTTAATTAGATTTAGTTGGCAAAAAAGATTAATTAACATATTTTTTGTACTTACAATAGAGATTTTGAAGTTATTTAATCAATTCGAAAAGCACACATTAATTTGGGAATCACACATCTTTTTTGCCAACTAAATCTAATAAAAATATTACAATTTGAGAAATATTATTTGTTTATTAAAATATGGTACAAAAATATTAAATAAATAAAATTGAGGGTATTTTTTAAACTATGACAAGTTCGGGATGGGGAGCTCACACCAAGGCAAAGTTCGGGGTATATTATTTATGATTTTATGACATTTAAAGCCGTTAAGCCGAACATTAAAATCATGGACCCTATACCAAAGACTGGACTACTAGAGATATCAAAATAGATCAAAAGTTAGCGAATTGGACTTCTTAACCCGTTTGATGGCTAAGTAGTCGCCATTTTCAAATTTCAAATAAAATTATTTTGTGGGGGTGGGGATTAACATCATGGAGTCATGGGTTATTAGCAGTTTGGTAGGGCAGCCTGTACGATTGCGAGTAACCTACGCTCCAAAACATTGTGTTTATTTTATTCTTATTTTATCAATTCAATATCAACTACATAAACTCATTCATTATATTAATTGTGAGTTTGTGACAGAATGGAGTATTTTTTTTTTGAAGGAATGGAGTAATAAGTTCATAACCACAGATTACTTGACTAAAATTAAAGTGTCAAGACAAAAGCTACTCCGTATTTGGGATAAAAAAAGAAAAGATACTCTCTAATAAAGTTGGAAATGACTGGGAATAAAGGAGTAAAAGGTCAGATTGGTCCTTGAAATTGCATAAAAAGGGTCCTTCAAAAAGTCCTTACTGTTCGGCCGTCGCCATTTGGGGCGGTTTCCGGTGGAATTTTTTATGAAATTTTTTGAGCATCTTATTCATTAAGTCTAGTTTACTTAGGATGTTTTTACTTGGACTGTAATTTGCCCCAGACCAGACCAGATCAGTCCAGACCAGACCAGACCAGTTCAGACCAGACCAGACCAGACTTGGATAGTTATAAAAATACAAAGAAACCAGACCTTACCAGACCAGACCAGACCAGTTCAGACCAGACCAGATCAGACAGACCAGACCAGACCAGCAAATTACAGTCCAAGTAAAAACATCCTTGTACCAAATTTCAGCTAAAGCTTCAATCAGGAAGGCATTCAAATGAATTTTTGAAGATAATCGCGCTTTTAACTGCGCAGTTATCTTCAAGAATTCATTTGAATGTCTTCCCGATTGAAGTTTTAGCTGATATTTGATATGAGTAAACTAGACTTAGGGAGTGTTTGCATTTGATTAAAAAAGGTGCTTTTCAGCTTTTGGCTTAAAAAAAGTTAAAAAGAGTGTTTTCAAATGACAGCTTCTGCTTAAATTAATCACTTAAAAGCTAAAAGCTGGAAGCAGGTGGAAGGATGCTTTAAATTGCTTTTCACTTTTTCTATTACACAAAAAGTACTTCTTTTACCAAATACTACCAACTTTTACTTTTTCAGAATCACTTTTTCCTCAAACACTACCAACTTTTACTATTAATCACTTTTCCCAAAATCACTTTAAAAAATCACTTTTTTAAAGTTGAAGCAATTGCAAACACTCCCTTAATGAATAAGATGCTTAAAAATTTTCTATCAAAAAATTCCACAATTACCCCAAATGACGATGGCGGAACTTAGAGCACAATTCTGACCCTTTATTCGGGAATAAAGTGTCAAGTTAGATGCCTGCTTAACCTGTTTTCTTTGGTACCTTTGCAGTTCTTTTTGAGTATCAATAAGCCAAAGAATGTACGGATCGCCTCACAATTTTATGAACCCAGCAATCGTCACAGCAAGGTAGAGATTTGTATAGAGCTACCGCCGAAGTGAATCCTCCTGTTTCCAGAGGTGATTTTTTTTTAATACTTCGGTTTTTCGTTGGTTTCATAGCTGTTGCCCTTTATCATATGAAACCTGGCTAGACTAGTCAATTCAATATATTTAATCTGTATATTAATTTTGTTTACAGTTAATAAAATCTCAAGTATGCTGTTATAAATTATTGTTTGTTTGATTTCTTGAAAATAAATTGAATAAATATAATTTTCCACCGGCTAAGTTCGATGTCAAACAATTATAATTTGATTTTTTTTACTTAATTTGGTTGAAACCTCGCATTTTCAAAACCATATTTTTTGGAATATTCATATGAAAATTTAATTCTTGGTTTATTTGAAATCAGCAAATCCGAAACTCAATTCTAAAAGATAATTTTAGTGGTGAACTACATAGTAAATTAGTAGGATACTAGGATCCTTAGAATGCTGTTAGAATTGGTTACTTTGATTAGAATGTTATTGCTAGGATAGAAAGAACGAGTGAAAATGGGATCAAAACTAAAGAGAAGTTGTTAATTGAAAGCAGAAAAACTATAAATTTGTTGAGGAAGGATTTAATATGTAGTTTGGACACATTTGGTGTAATTGTATATATAGTCTTTAAATTTGCAGAATTGGAGTCTGTTGCAACATTATCTTTTGTGTGTGTGTGTGTGTGTTGTGCATAGGGTAGCTCCGGCACTCTGTTTTCATGCCCTTTGAATACGAAGTTTAAGCTGGTTTTATTACACCATTAAAAAGATAGAGGTTTTCTGATAAATAAGATGAAGGTCAACAGCTTTGATTGATTATGTTACAGTTCATCCTGCAACTCTGAAAGTGTATTATATGGGTTTCTCAATTCTGATCCCAACTTTTTTGACTTGTTTTTTCTTGATCCATTTGTTATGCCCACACCATACGAAATAATATTACCTCTCAAAAACACGAGCACTATTTAGCCCATGTACAACTTTTTCAAGTTTGGTATGGTTCAAATCTCATAAATTAGCTAATCACCCCTATATTTTCTAAATGTACTTATTGATTAACAAATACTTGTCTGTGATTATTTTTAGCAAAACCCGTAAAAGATTGGCTTTGTTTAATCGATTTGACTTCTTTGGGGCAGACGAATATAGCATTTGAAACATAACACTTGTTTTGGGACAGAGGAAGGACAGCATGGCTGGTGACGAGAGGAATCTAATTGAGATTTTAGAGGAGAATATCCCTATAGACTTTAACAAGTACATCACATATGTTCAGTCACCAGAATGTGGTGCTATAGCCACTTTTGCTGGCACAACTCGCAACACATTTGAGGGCAAAGAAGTGTTGGAGCTAAGGTACGAGGCGTACACTCCGATGGCAATACGTTGCATTCAAACTGCATGCTCGTCTGCCCGATCAACATGGAATCTCAACTCGATTGCCGTTGCCCACAGACTAGGACCTGTGGCAGTTGGGGCAACAAGTGTGTTTGTTGCGACATCATCTGTGCACAGAACAGATGCATTGGATGCTTGTAAGTTTCTGATTGACGAGATCAAAGCGTCTGTTCCAATCTGGAAGAAGGAAGTGTACACTAATGGAGAGGTTTGGAAAGAAAACAGAGAGTTTCTGGACAGAAATGCTAAGAAATTGACACAAAATGGGAGCATTGGTGAGAAAAAGGGGTGTTGCTGTGGGACAAAGGTGAGAATTGAGTGATGGTCATAGTTTTTGCCTTTTGCTTTTCCAGGCATGTGGAAGTAAAAAGTAAAGTAAAACAAGTACAGTTCAAATACACTTCAAACTCAATTAATCCTGGCCTGATCTTAATTTAGTTTTCTTTAAGTAGTTCCAGTTGCTCTATTAGACTATTTGTACACTGCATAATGAGCTGGACGTGTGGTGGTGATGATATGTTGACAGTTTCTTGGTCCAAGTATATCTAATATTTAAGAATGAAGTGAAAGTATAGACCAAATAATCATGTACGGACTATAATTTTAATTTGTCAAGTAATTCAAAATTTATGTAGGTAATGCTTGGTGATACTCCTATAAGACAACCAGGAGGTCAGGGTAGTTTGTCGACCTCCCCCTAGGAAGGGAAGTTTGAGAATATAGAGCACTGAAATACTTTTGATTTGATATATTATGACTCCGGTAACTTATTACGAGTAAAAAGTTATGACTCCCGAAAAATGAGTACTATTTTAACTTGAAATGAGTAATGTTTGATGCGTAATAAGAAGTATTGATTTAAATGAGACACACACACACGGGGAGGGTTCAAGTGAGAACTTGTCTTAAGATGAGAACTTGTTATCATGAGAACTTTTAATCACAACCTTTTATTTAATTTAATCATTGGTAGGATGCACGTGGGGTACTTTGTGTAATTATTGAAATTCAAATGAGCTCTTTTTTGTAATTATTGTAGAGTTATTACAAAAAATGCCACCTTATTAATTCTGACCCTTATTTTATAAATAAAGGGTGGTGATCAGAAGTTCTCTTATATAAATGAGTTCTCATTTTAAAGGGGGTTCTCACTAGGACTAGGTCTGGGATCGGTTCGGTTCTTATATGAAATTAGTGGAACGGTTACAAAAAACTTAACTAATCAAATCGGTTCGGTCTTTGTTTATAACTTTAGTAACTTTTATGGAACCGAACCAATAGTAAACAATTCGGTTCTTATTTTTATTGATTCCTAAGCATAAATTTCATTCCATAAAAAATGAATACAATTTACTTTCTACAATGCAAAAATGTCAAAAATACAAAACACAAGCAATAAGTACTTTTTGAAGCTCTTATCCCTTCAAACTCTTTTTTTTTTTTGAAAATCAAATAACTAATGAATTATTAAGCGATAGCAAAAATACAAGAGAATGAATAGCCTGAGGCTGCAATGGGATGAGATATAAAGCGAAACAGATTCAATGAATCCTTCCAGATCGCTAACCCCGCATTAATGTAGTCTAGTCTAACAGTCTTGCTGATCTTCTTGCTATTCCAAAGAGAAATTAAAAAATTATAACTAAAAGATCCAGCTTCACCAGCCACCGGAAAGGGAGAATTAGTTTGACCAGCAACCAACAAAGGGAAATCAGTCGAGTAGAAATTTCTTGAAGCATCGGTTTGACCAGCCACCGAAAAGGAGATCCACTTGATCATCATCTTCTTCTCAGAGTGAGGCGGTGGTTCAGGTGGTGGGCGAGTATTTGAAACATTAGAACAACAAGGTTGAAAAAGCTTCACCAGATCGATTACCCCGATTAGAAACGCGCAGCCTCTAGACATCGCTAGGAGAATAACATACCACACGCTCACATGAAGCGGACAAAATTTTCGGCCAATGAAGAAGCAGGACCAAATTCCTTGAAAACAGAAATTGAAAGAGAGCGAAAGCATTGAAAACCCTTTGATTCGATTTTTCATTGCATAGAGAATGTCTTCATCTTCCAAAATCGGATCTTGAAAGGGGTTGGGGATGGCCGCCTAGGGTTTCCCCTAGGGCTGGCTCTCTATCACTGAATAGAATCATTCTTAAATTTAGTTTTTTTCTTCAAACTCTTATTTAATAACGGTTTTTAACGGTTCCGTGAACAAATTTTTTGTATGAACCAGGAATCGAACCGTTAACAAAGAATAAGAAATGAACCGTTAACAATTTATAACTCACGGGTTTTCCGGTTCTTGGTTCCAAAGTCTCACTCCTAACTATAACTCTATCAGTCTTATTTAAATCAATTTGTGACTCATGTTATTTCTCTCCTCTCTCTGCAAATCTTTACCACACAGTTTTTACTTTATTATTCTACGTGCTGATCAAACTTGGCAAACCTTTAAGGGACGGAGGGAGTACCATTCAACTAAGTTGCATATGAAACATTCAACTCAGATATTGTTTAAAGATTTTTTTATTCTATGTTTAGTTAAGTTTTAACCCTTAGTCGTTTTTTTGTTTCTTCGTTGAAGATAACCTCCCAGGCTCAAGTTGCGCAAAAAAAAAAATTGTAGTATGATAAGAATATTTTCACTTCAACAGTTCACTTCAACTTGTTTTAATCTAATACCATATCAAATAAAAATAGATTTAGCTAATAATAAAATATACATATACTAGATGTTTAATAGACGAGATGAATTTGATATACATATACATATGTTTAATAGACGAGATGAATTTGATATACATATACTACATGTTTAATAGACCATACTTAAATGAATTTGACAAGACGAGACAATAATATTTTAATCTAAGTGAAACATTACTAGATATAATTAGAGTATAGATGGTCTGAACTCTTAACCAAACGCCTCATATATATAAAACATTTATATGCTCCATTATCCATGTGAAATTAAGTGCCCCTTTGGTAGCCACGATTTTTGGCTTTTCAGACTTATAAGACAACTTTTTCACTAAACGCGTAACTTTTGATTTCGCGGGCTGAATTGTGTAATAAGAAGAAAAAGTAAGATTGACGTTATTTTTCTGGTTGTATTGGCTGAAGTTACTGTAGAGAGTCATTTTAGCTATTTTTCGTATAATTTTTTCTTTATTTTATTAGTAAAATGTATGTTAAATTACGTAGTATTATTTTTCACAAATAAGCAGAATCAGCCGATGCAGCCACATCAGTCAGAATTTCGTAAATTTCAGCAGAATCATCCACTACAGCCGATTTGGCTATTACCAAACGGGCTCTAAATCTTCCAAACCAGATGCTTCCCAAAAGTTTTTGTGGTTAAACAATAGAATACAATTAGGCTGGAACGAAGGATAACAAGCTAATGAGTAAATTAATATGATTACAGATTACATATTACTACTGCTCTCGTGTTCTCTTTGGTTAGAGAGAGGAGCGGCGAAGGGGAAACCCTAGCCGCCTCCTCTCCTTCTTCTCTCTTTGTTCAATTTTCCTTTGCTCTCAATAATGAAAAAAGTTTCGTTAGATCAATATTTTCAGTTCTATGTATACGTCTGTTTCCTAGCGTTTCTAGAGATACTACTTTCGGTGGCGAAGTGTGGCTCGCCAAATTTATATTCCCCGCCATCATTGGTCGTGTGTTCTTGGGTGTTAGTAAGAGTAAGGCTGAGCATAAACCGACCCAACCCGAATACCCGATCGGATATTTCGGATATTACCCGACCGGGTAGGGTCAATCGACCCGAAATGGAAACCTGAATACCTGATCTGCTAAAGCCTAAACATTATTGGGCCGGGTGGGTTTTGGTTTTTGCCCAACCGACCCGTCCAAAAACCCGAACCCCCAGCCTAGTACCCAGCCCATATATATTTATATATATATACTCCCCTAATAAACCCTAACCCATTTCCGCCTCCTTCGCTATCTCTCTACTCTGATTCTCTGACTACTCTCTTCGCTGACCTTACTCGGTTACTCTCACCCTCTGTTCCAAATCTCTCCGCCTCCTTCTCTGGACTCCGATTGAGAGATGGTGAGTGGTGACTCTATGAGGGTCTGACTGTCTGAGTGTGTTCATCATTTACTCTCACACGCTTCTTGAGTTCTTGGTTTGAAGTTAAAACCCTAAAGTCATCGGATCGGAAGTTGAACTGTGGAAGCATTGCTCGATTTGCCCCTTTTCCGGTTGGACCTTCTGGTAAACCTAAGCTCAGTCTCAGTCTCCCAATCTCTCATATCAGTCACACTCAAGCGGGAGGTATAACTTCTATTCTCTGCTTGATGAAGAGTGTAAATTGTGGTTGTGACTTACTGACTTGTGAGTTGTTGTTTATTGTGTGACTCGAGCAGCCTTGAATGTTGAAGTGTGGAAGTAAAATATGATGTTGAAACTGTATTGTTGGCATGTCTGTCCGAAACTGTAATTATGTATAAATTATTGTTATGTCTTTGCTTGAGGTTGTGTGTATGAATGTTGCCTATTACATGTTGGTTATTGTTGTTGTAGAAGTTACTTGATTGACTCAAACACTCAAGCTGAGTAGTTAGATTTGTTGTAGAAGTTACTTAAGCCCACTGCTTATACTATTCTGTAAATCACCTTGGTGATTGTTCCAGACTTGATTTCTATGGTTGTCTTGATTGAGAATGATTTGAAATGATGAATGAATGATTGATGATGAAAGAATGATTGCTTCTTTCTGAATTGTCATAGTGGAAGCTGTGTAAGGTTGTGTGTATGAATGTTGCCTATTACATGTTGGTTATTGTTGTTGTAGAAGTTACCTGATTGACTCAAACACTCAAGCTGAGTAGTTAGAGTTGACTGGTTCTTCTAAGTCTATAGAGAATAGTTAAGCCTACTGCTTATACTATTCTGTAAATCACCTTGGTGATTGTTCCAGACTTGATTTCTATGACTGCCTTTACCGAGAATGATTTGAAATGATTATAACTATGTACATAAAAGAGTGATTGTGGCCCCAAAGAATAATGAATGAATGATGATGAAAGAATGATTCCTTGTTCTTTCTGAATTCTGATTGTGGAAGCTAAGAAAAGGTCCCTAAGTTTCATGTAATGGTTTATAGATGGAATCCCAAGACCTATCTCTCTCTGTAAAGGTCCCTAAGTCCCTAAGTTTTATGTAAAGGTCCCTAAGTTCCAATCTCTACTATTGCATATGAGTCCACTTTCAGTACTAGTGGCAGAGTGTTGGACTGTTTCAGAAGTTCATTAAGCCCTAAAATTGTGGAAGCCTTAATCTGTACTCAAGATTGGCTAAGAAATCATAACCACCCTATCTCAGTTGAACAAAACATAGATGAAGTTCAAAGGCTAGAAACAGGTGCATTTAAAGTTTTTTTTTTCTTTTACATATAATATACTTCATAGGTTTTATTGTACACTAAACAGGTTGGTTTTTTTTTTGCAGAATTACTTGATGGTAATGTCACTGCTGATCCTGATGGCCATGTTGGTGGATCTTCTCGGGATCCTATTGCAGTAAAAAAGTGCTTTCATGCCTTTCATTACTTATTTATTGTTGACAGTGTGAATGACTAATTTGTTTAGCAGTTTGATTGGATGATGGGAGCAATAAATCTAGTAATGAATGGTAACACAAGCTTATTGCCCATTTGCCCCTTGTGATTTCTGAACTTAGAATGAATGGTAACACGAGCTTATTCTCCTTTAATCATTACAATCATCTATTGGGTAACAGGTTAATGGCTTTGGCTATGATGAAGCTTCCACAATCAACTGATTTTTGATGGGTTGGTGTTGTTTTTTAAGTGCTGGCTTGGTAACTTTAGGTCTATAGTTGCCGCCAGTTACTTCAAAGGTTTATGCCCCCATACAAAATTTGAATTGGAAAATAAGCTATCTGAGCCTATGTCACTTGTTAACTGTTTAATGGTAATACAAGCTTGTTCTCCCTTTATCATTTCAATCATTTACTCAATTACTTGGCTATGATGAAGCTTCCACAACAAACTGATTTGTCATGGGTTGGTGTTCTGTTAAGTTATGGCTAGGTAACTATAGTTGCCGTCATTTACTTGATATAATATGCCCCCATACAAAATATGATCTGAAAATTAGATTTACAGGTTTTTAACAATATAATTTGTTTAGAGGCTTGATATGTACTTTAGTACTTAATGACATTATTGTATTTTTTTATAGGTTCAAGTTTGAAGGCAGTATAAACAGTTGAATGAGCGCTTACGGATTGTTTTTGTCAATTTATGTTATGATTATTTTGTTATGTGTTAAACACTATTAAACATTATTTGGTTAGTCAGTTTATGAACTAGTAAGTCATGAACTAGTAAGTTCATTAACTGTCTTTCTTTATGATCTGGGGTATGCCCCTTTTATTGTGTAATTTTTGTCACTTTTGTTAAACACTTAACAATCAAAACTCCTACTTTGTCAATTGGGGTATATCTATATCATATATGCCCCTTATGGCCGTATGTAGTTACTTACTTATGTAAGTTGTATATTGTGTTATTTTTCTTGATTGTGTTATGCATTTTCAACTGGTTTTGTTAAAAGAACTAAATTGTTGGTAAATTAGTTCAAAATTTTGGATATCCGAAATACCCGAAACCCGACCCATACCCGAGGGAATCCGAAACATAAAATATCCGAAATATTTTTACCATTTTCTTTAAGGGTTGGGTTAAAGAATATTACCCCGATACCCGAATGGGTTTACCATTTCGCAACCCGACCCGCCCGAACCCGACCCGTGCTCTCCTCTAAGTAAGAGATGTGTATTGGCTTCTCTATCGATCATGATCTTCTGTATCAATATAGAGGCCGATCGCCCCCCTCCTGAACCACCGCCGATCAAGGAAGATGGGAGTGAATGGATTGCTTTCTTTCCGGTGGCTGGTGAAACCGGAATAATTTCTGCACTTGGCTCCTTACCGGTGGCTGGAAAAACCGGCAAGTTTAACAAATCCTTTTCGGTGGCTGGTCAAACCGGACCTATTTCGAGTAGCACGAGCAGTCAAATTGCGGGACGAGTCTACATAGTTGCAGGGTTAGCGAACATAATAACTTTTATATGGCTTTTTTGTTCTTTGTCTCACCCTAGTGTAGCATTGAACGATGTGATTGTAATGCTTCGGTTTTTTATTGTTATGTTTCTGGTTACCCTTATCAATAATAATTAAGTTATTTGATTTTTTTAAAAAAAAACTAATGAGTAAACATTTGATATCAAACATTTATGTTCTCCATTCATTATCTATGAAATATAAAATCACCCACAACAAATGTTCCACAAAGGCACAAAGTGATCCATATTTTGTGTGATATCGGTCTTTTAATGGGATCATTTTGAGAGAATATATATCTTGTCAATAATAATCACGTAATACTCCATATTGAAATACTGCTGGACCATATTTAAGATTGAAACTTCGCAAACAATAACATGCATGTTATTTCGCAAACAAATACTTCCTCCATTCCTTTTTAATTGCAAGTTTGCAACAGTCAACATTTCACGTTTGCCAACGCACAAGTTTGACCGTTAATATCTTTCAGTCCTTATTAGTAAAAAATTTAAAAAATTCATATTTTGAAAATTTAGAACAAGAAGAATTTAACAATATTTTTTAAAAATTTAATTTATAATACATAAATTAATAAAACATAGTCAAAGTAGAATATGTGAATAGTGTAAACAGTCAAATGTTGCAATTAAAAAAGAACGGAAGTAGTATATGACTAGATATTAATTTGAATAAAAGGTGACTAAATTGGAAATGAATATAGTTAAACGTCCTTACATAAATATCAAAAACTAGATCGAAAATTTTTATGCCTGTCCTCTAGCACCGCAGCAAGTAGCCTCGAGATCTTTCATTTGGCTTAACAATCCCAAGTTTTCCGGGTCTAGCGACCTTAATTTTTGGCTGTCTAAAATTCCTCCAAACTTAACCCCTTCCCTCCCCAAACCCATTTTTAATACGCTCCACACTCAACCAATGTAAGAAATTAGGAGTCTAAAAATGCCATTTTAACATTTTAGACTCCTAATACCTCACCATTCCATTTGGTCTAGGACTTGCTCTGTCGATCCTGGTCCTAGGTTCGGTCTTATAGGTCTTGGGCCTATACCTAAACGGCTTCTTTGTAGTTTGTATCCATACCGGTTCCATAACCCTGGGCTAAGATACTATTTACCTTTTTCTTGTTATTTAGTCATGTTAAAACACTTTTAATAGACTTATTTTAGCTTTAGATCAGATCAAATCAGATGAAATCAAATCAAACAAAACCTAGATAATACAAGAATAACATAAATAGATATCTACTAGACCAGTTCAGATTAATTCAAATCGAAATAAATCGAACTAAACTTAAACAGATCAAACTTAATTAAACAGATCGAAAGTTTGAGTCCGACCCCATGTCTCAAACTTAATTAGGAAGAAAGCTATATTTTAATAACAATGTTAATGGGATATAATACACCTTGGGTCTAGCAGGACCTGTTAATCAACTACAATACGATAAACTTTGATCACAATATATAAATTAAATACTATCATACGGACTACGGGGTATAAGATTTGTGCTTAAGGATTTTGTACTTGAGGATCTCATGAAGGATATTGTTCTATACTTGTACCATCCAACACAATTATTAGAAACTAAATTATAAAATGCATAAATTGGGTGTCAAGCCACATTAATTTGACATTTCAAACAAAGCAACAGATAGAGAAACAAGCTTTTGGTATTGATTAACCAATTAATGATAGAATTAATTGTCCCAACAATCCCATCACTAATCTAAAAGAGATATAGAGAGATCCCTTCACTTCACTTCCTCTCTATCAAGTTTCATGTCTGCCCATAGCTGCACCTCTCGCCACTTCTCATGGCTGGTGAAATCGTGTATTCCCACCACCCAACACCACCCCCATTCCCCCGGTCATCATCCTCCCACCGCTCCTTCCGCCGCCGCTCTGCTCTGCCAAACCACCATTTCTTCCCTTCCCGACGACCTCCTCCTAGAATGCCTCTCCCGGGTCTCGCATTCGTGTCTTCCTTCGCTGCCCTTGGTGTGCCGTCGCTGGTCGGACCTCCTCGACTCTCCCACCTTCAACTCCCTCCGCCGCCGCCGCGACCTCCTCCGTCTCACTCTCTTTGCTCTGTCCATTTCCGGCCATTCCCTGCTCTTCTCGGCCAGTCTCTGCTTGGGTCTTGAATCTGTGTGGAACGTTTCATCTTTTCTTCTCACAAATGAGGGAATTCATCAGGGGACGTTTTCCTCTCTGTTCTCTCATTCCCGATTGGTCGCCATTGGCCGGAGAATTTACGTCATTGGCCGGACGGCGATGATTTGTTGCGACACGTGGACCGGGACTGCGGCCTCGTTACAGGGGCCGATTGCTTCGAGGAAGAAATTTGCTGCGGCGGCCGTGGATGGACGGATATATGTGGCCGGCGGCTGTGGGCGGACGGATGCGGTGGAGGAGTATGACCCGCGGAATCGGAAATGGCGCGTGGTGTCCACGGCGGCCAGGAAGCGGTACGGGTGCGTGGGGACGGCGGTGGACGGAGTCTTCTATGTGATCGGAGGACTGAAGATCGGGTCGTCGGGGAATGAAGGGGTGGTGGTTCCGGGTTCACGCGCCGCTGGATCGGACGCAGCGCATTTGTACGCGAGCTCGATGGATTTGTATGACGTGGCGTTAGGGCAGTGGCTGAGGAGCCGCACCGTCCCCGGCGGCGGATGCGTGGTGGCGGCTTGCGCCGCGGGCGGATCAGTTTACGTTCTCTCGAGCCACGCCGTGGAACTCTCGTTCTGGAAATTCAACGGCACGCGCAAATCGAGCAGCTTCGGGGATTGGTGCAGGCTCACGTCTCCGCCGCTTCCGGCGCAGGTTAGACTGGACAGCACCGTGAGATTCGGCTGTGTAGGGGCGGGAGAAACGGTAGTGCTGATCCAAGTGACGGGCTGCATCGACGACCTGCTCAGGCGGAGCGGCAGAAGTCAGAGGGGATTCAGGGAAGGACTTGTGATGGTGTACGATTGCGCCGCCGGGGAGTGGAGCAGGGGGGCGGATTTGCCGGAGGGAATTCGACGCGCCGCCTGTGTGACGGTTGAGTGCTAGTTTGCGCCGCTTGGGCCTTTCAAGTTTCAAGGGTAAACACGGGCCGGGCTTGCAATATTGGGGAAGCAAAAGTCGGGCTTACCCTCAGCTTATTTTTCGTCATTGAGTCAAAGCATCTGATTTTTATGTCGGCACAAATCAATTGTTTATCATGCCAAATAATGGTGTTAAAAAACTTAAAGTTAGTACTCACATGCTTCCAAAGATTCTTTTCTCACTCCTTTCTAAAGGAAAATTGGGCACAAATCTTCTTCCTGTTAAATTAAGGATGTTTTGTTTTGGATTGTTTTCAGTCCCAGACCAGACTAAAACAGACCAGACCATAATTTCTTAGTTATAAAATACACAGAGACCAGACGTTTATCAGACCAGACTAGTTCAGATCAAATCAGACCAGACCAGACTTAAACAGACCAGACCAGACCAGCAAATTTCAGTCCAAAAGAAAACATCCTAAATTAGCTTCGGTCTTTAAGGATATTTGTAATTTAATTCTAATTAAATTAGCTTCAGTTTTTAATCAAATCATACTCAAATAGATGAGACTAAATTGGATCAGATAATATTTTCACACTTTGTAGACATTCATTAGATCATTCAGATTAGGCATGGCCTCGGTTCGGGCCGCCCGGCCCGGGACCGGCCCGACCCGCTACTGTGCGGGCCCGGCCCGGCCAGGTTTTCCGGGTCCGGTTCGGGGCGGAGGCCCGGGGGTGGGGCGGTTCCGGGCTCGGTTCATGGGTTTGACGGCCCGGCCCGGCCGGTTCGGGCCCGGGTCCGGGCCAAATCTAATTTTTTTAATTTTTTTCATTTTTTTGGGCTGTTGGGCTTGGGCTATCTGTTTAGGCCGGTTTGGGGGGGTTTGGGGGGGGTGGGGGGTGGGGAAGAAAGGAAAAAAAAAAAATTAAACCGGGTGGCCCGAACCGGCCCGGACCCGGGACCGCCCTACCCCGGTTCGGGCTCGGGCCTGTTATTACTGAACCGAGGCTCGGACGGGCCTAGGCCCGAGGCCCGAACCGGCCCGGTTCAGTCCACCACTAATTCAGATCAATCATACTGCGTGCATAACCATTGCATTCGCTTGATCAAATAATCTAAAGAGCTAATAATAGAACATTCATTGCTCAACGATTTGATCAAAACATTTTTCAAATAGTGTAACAGTTGTATTTAAATTGATAAAGCGGCTGAACAAACATCACTTTGTCAATTTTGCGATTTATGTGTAATAAAATTTGTAACAACTATGTTATAGACACTTTCCGTGACAAAGTTCCTTAATAAAATCAGTGTTTTTTTTGTAGTGCTCCACCATATACTTCGTATATGTAAGATAATAATTCTAGAGATTAGTTCAAAGTTGAACCACCTATTATTATAATTAGTACATACCAAAATTATTGCTATATATTTGAATGATTTTAGTTATCACTAATAATTATACACATTCTTCGATCGATGACTTCTTCACAACTTCCTTAACAATCTATATATAGCCTTATTCTACTGGGCATTTTTATATTTAGTTTCTAGAAGCTAGGCTATTGTACACTCATTTTGATACTTATAAGTCTTATAAGTGTTGCTTTTTTATAAATATGTGCTCAACAATCTGTATGAATTGCTTAATACATGTTGAGTATGTTTTATACGCATTCATCACTAATCTTCATCTTTATTAATTAATTTATTTAATTTATACAGGTGTTAAATAGAATTGATCTCATACATTCACAAACTTGTAATATACGTAGTATGTAGAAGCGAATCTACAATTAGAGGCCAATGAAAGCCAGAATTTTAAAGAAAACGTACACTACGACAGCACAGCGTTTATATACAGTATAAAACAAATTCATTTACTGTATGTTTATCTTCTGTCCTTAGAGGCCAATGAAATTAAAGCCAATTCGAATTGCCTCTCACCTTCTTTTAAAAAAATGTCATGTATTCAATTCGTATAGAAATTATATAGTTCATGTTAGCATGTTTATGGAGTTCGTTGCCATGTCGGAAACTTGGAACATACTCCCTCTCTAATTGTTCTTCCATAAGACAAATGACACACAAATTAAGATGGTGAGTATTATATGGTGAAAAGTTGTACATCTGAGAGAGAAATGTCTAAGAAATATTGTGAATTGAACTCAAGGATCATCGTGTGAGAAGTTTCTCAAATTCATCTACTTAGTAACTTGAACTCAATAACACTTGCAATGGAAGAGTTTTAAATGTAGGGAATGGTTCAACTTCACAACATTTATTTATCTTAATAATTAAAAAAAGCAGCTTCTTAGTACTACGTACACTCATGTTTTGCCCATATATGTAGGTAATTTGTCAAAATTTAAACTTGTGTAAGTAAACGCGGACAACTTGAACATCCAAACCCAAAACGTATACACCAAAAATAGTTCAATAAAATATGAAACTCATTTGGTAACCTCATGTAATAAAATTTATGAGATTCTGGTTGAAGTGGTTGAGTTGACTGAATCTATTCAGGATTTGGTTGAAATGATATAATTATTTTTCGAAAAGAACAAAAATGCATGAAAAGATAGATTGAATCTTTGTTGTTAACTGCTTTCTTAAAAAAAAGTAACTTTACTTAATTTGATTATTTATAAAATTGATAAATTCAAAATAGGAGTTTTTGTGTGTTGTTGAGTCATCCTTGTCCTCCGTATTTGTGTAATATGCACATTGGCCAGAAACGCAGAAACATAACCTTATCCGCTCCTTTTTCAGCAAAAAACAATGGCTACGGTTGGAGGCATTTCCGGCGAGAAGGGGTTCCAAAACAGCCTAGATGTCGAAGCTCTTGCTCAGTTTGCCGTCTCCGAGCAGAATAAGAAAGAGGTTCTCTCTCTTCGTGTTTGTAAAAATTGCATTCAATAACAGATTATCTTTCGAACTTTTCGATTTTCCTCTCGATTCGGCGTCTGAGCCCACGGATGCTCGCTCGCTGTGTTTATAATTCGTGGATGCGTCAAATCCTGTGAATTAAAACGTGCGTAGATTTGCATAATTGCATTTCATCTCTTCCGATTGTTTCTTCTCCCGTCTTCTTTTCCATAACATTAACATATGTATGATGTGTATTTTCAGAATTCCAACTTGAAGTTTGAGAAAGTGGTGAGTTTGAAGCAGCAGGTGGTCGCTGGGACGATTCACCATATAACGCTGGAGGCAACTGATAAGGATAGTAATCACAAAAAGGTTTATGAAGCTAAAGTCTGGGAGAAGGCATGGATGAACTTCAAGGAATTGCAAGATTTCAAAGCTATTGGTGATGCCCCTACTTCTTCTTAGCTTAACGCTTTGCTACTAAAACCATTTTTTGGAGTGGTGCTAGTAATAATCTTGGACAATAAAGTCTGTTGTTGGTGTTATGTTATTAACTTATTACCATTCCAAGTAATAGTAATAGTAATAAATAAACATTTTGAAGAGATTATGTATCAATGTATGAACCATGATGCTCAATAGTATAACATTGATGATTTAATGGCTGTCTATCCAGTTTCACATCTTAGATGGTGTGTGTTTTATGCCTTGTAATGCAATCCCATTACATTCATTCATGACAGTAAAAAGGTGTGATCCCAAACCCCATCCATGAGGGCTGAGGCCCCCCATCACCATCTATGAGGTCTCGAGAAACCGGGAAACAAACTCACTGGGAAGGTTAAATTGAACTGTGACTACAATGTGGTTGATAAAAGGTGGGGTTTGCACCTGATACTAACAGGATCTGTTGAACGGGATCCGATTCACCTCCCATTACACCCATTCATTCATGGGATTAGGTATTATCGTCAAGAAAGGTGATTTTGAAGGAGCTTATCTCATAATGGGGTGATTGAGGTTATTCTCATAATGGGGTGATTTTAGAAGCCTTTTAGATCTTGATGATATCCCAATCTCTACTCATTTGATTTAGACATTCTAAACATCCCTTAATTGCTTTGCGCATAAGCAGAAGTCAAGGAGAATTGTATCATGTTTTATTGTTAAGGCATTATAAATGAAGCTTTGATGCGCATCATTGTGGTGGCATAAACATACACCTCATGGTTTAGGTTTGTACTTAAGCGGGTTCTAATAAGAGTGGATACTGAACCTTAACCTGTGCTTTCGGTTTTGATCAGTTTTAAGACTATTTCAGAGGAACCAAAAAGAATGTGGTTTGGTTGTAGTCTGTAGACCAGAATTAGCCCAGCCAGTAACTCATGACTTCATGAGGCATAGTAAGTTTCCTAAGAAAAAACTTGACAGTCATATGCAACCTATTGAGCTAACCTTGATGGTCTCTCATCCGTCATTGTCCTTCCATGTGCAGCCAATGTAACAAAGAATGAATTATGAGATGAATAACTACACAAAATATTTAAAGATTATTTCTTTACTCAACACAAAATAATATTTTTAAAATATAAACTTAGTATCATTTCTTTCTGTTCAGATTAAAACGCATATTCTAAATTACTCCTTTTGTAATTATCAATTAATTGATGTAGTTAAATAAGGTGTAGATTTGAATAAAATAAGGAGTATGACCGCAATCAAGGAAGTTATCACGAAGAGGTTCCAGTATGATTTAGCACAAGTCCTTGCAAAGCATTTTCATGGAACGTGAAAGAGGAAGATAAGCAAAGAATTTTTGAAAGAGCATATTGCACTAGAATTGATCAAGACAACCATTAACAAGGGGAAAAGCATATTCATATATGATCAAACAACGCCAACACCAAATCCAAGCACATCTTAATGTCTCTTTCTTTTTTCCTTTTATTCAACCATCAAACTTATCCCCCGCCCCTATATCCCTATAAGGAAGGAGAGGAAACAAATTGCCGGGGCAAACTAAAAAGATCCTTCTCTTCGAAAGGAGAAGTCCACTCACGTGACACCCCACCAGCTGATGTTTCCACGGCCGAACCCATCCCTTCCTGCAACCTGGTAGGAATTGAAATGCCATCAGACAAAATGGGTCCCATAGCAACCCTTCCCGGCGGAAATGTATGGTGTTGGTGGTTGTTTTGCATGGGTGGGTTCATTTTCGACCACAGGCCTCCCGACGGAGCTGATGAAGAGAAATTAGAACCCAGACTCCAGTCTATGGTGTTGTAATCCAGATGCGGCACTGAAAACCCACTGTTCCAATCCACATGAGGAGAAGGCGGACCTAATGGGCTGTGGCTGCCTAACCCAGAGAAGAGCCCAAGGGAGGAAGCCGCAGCAACTGTATGAGGCTGAAATGTACTACCACCAGTTCTACTACTCCATATACTGTTTCCCCTGCTGCTAATTCCTGGGGATTCATGTGCGCCCCCATTACTTGACACATTTTGATACTGTTGCGGGAGATAATGATGATGACTGAATAATAATTGGTTTGATGTACTGAAACTGTCATGGCTAGGGTTTCTCATGCCTGGAACATGTGTCACCATCCCATCAGGCTTCATAGGTTCAACACCATGTAGGTACCACCCCCCTCCACCAGGAGGTGATGAGCTTACTATGGTTGATGGTGGAACCCCCTGTTGCTTTGCATTGATGGACTGTTGCTGTGGTCGTTGCATTACTATAACCGGTTCTTTAATGCTTCCTAGCTGTAGGTTCTTCAGTTCATTCCCAACAGCTATGTATCTATGAGGTTCACTAGTCACCATCACTGCTGGAGGTGGTGGGGTTTGTGAAGTAGTTAAAGAATTATATGAAGATGCATTTGATATTATTGCACTTGGCCATCGCTTATCAGGAGAAGGAGTGATTGCTGGTGGTGCCGGCTTGACCCATTCTGTTTTTGGTTGGATTCCCTTTGATGATTGTTGTATACTTTTGCCTGCTGGATCTATAGAAGTATTTGGTATTTTTTCATCCTTACGCTGCTGTATAGAGACCAATGGAGCAGGTTTTGCAGATAGAATTGTTGATATCTGATTACTAGTGGTCAATGGGGGTTTACTGGTTTCATCTGGTTTTGATTGCACGCTATTTGCAGTATCCTGCTTTTGCGCCCGAAGAGTTTCTTCAGCCTTATTGAGATCACCTTCACAGGCAACCACGACCCTCTCAACCTCCTGCTTGGAGCACTTATACCTACTCTCAATGTCTGTAATACGAGAAAGCTCATCGGATATATCGATTTTCAAATTACCTCCACCACCGTCAATTTTGTGTTCTTTGCGCTTATTGTTATCTGCTTCTTCACCTTCTTCAAACAGCCACGCCACTGATTCCTCTACTCTTCCTTCATTCAGAATGAGAGCCATTGTTGCTCGTTCTGAAGAGAATCCCATTGCCACAAGCTGTTGAGCAAGTGATTCCAACTTTCTTGACATTAAATACCCACTGCACTTTTCATGCAGTTCTTGGGCCCGTCTCTCCTTTTGGCGTTGATGTTTTTTCTCATTCTTTTGACGGATTTTTTCGCGTTTGTCATTATCAGCACCAGGCACTGTTTCTTGTTTGGGGGTAGGAGGGTGAGATGTTTTTTCTTTGTGGTCCTCTGACTCACCAGACCAGCTACCATTGTTCGAAACAGAATCATACTCCCCGCCGTTTCCAAACGAGTTGCTACTTTGATCATCCGTCTCATCTATGTTTTTGAAGCGGCCATTAGCATGAAGTGAAGAGGCAGAAGAACCAGGTACGGAGTCCAGAGCATGAAATGTTCCCAAAATTGGATTGTATCCACTGGTCAGGGTCCCACCACTAAGATTTGCCTGGTTCAAAGACTTTGAAGGGGTCTTAGGGGGTTCCTTCCCAGACTTTTTGTCCTTGGACTTTCTAGATGCAGGAGACATATCTCTGTTTCTGATTCCAAAACCTAAGAATCAGAGCAATGTGAATAAACTTAGTTAAAGAATGCAAAAAAATTCAAAACCACCTTAATTGAAAAGGCTTAGTTAACGAATGCAATAAAAACAACCATTCCAAAATATCCAGCTCTAACTAGAAATAGAAGGATGTATTGGGCAATCCAACTTTGAATCAGAGTTCTAAATGAATTTGCGGTATTGTCTAATTTCAAGGAGGTAGGAACAACAGTGCTGCATTAACTAACAGCTTGCAGAAAACATTTAAGCTCGGCAAATAATCCAGAGCATGAAAAAATATAGTCTAGAAATTAAACAAACATATTCAGAGTGCTCCGCCAAATCTAGCCTAACCAATGCCCAATCCATCAGAAGATGTCATTTGAAGCATTGAAAGAGTTCTTCTAATAAATGAAGATGGCAAAACAAAAAAAAGGTATAATAGATATCCATACATTTAATTTATATCCTCACATTATTCAGGGTAAATATATTATCCTAGAGAAAAAAAAAAATATGACTCATCGGTACAACAAGTGCACAAAACTCCAGATACCAATCCGGCTATATGAATAAACTTAAGGAGCGATCACCAATTACACGCCCAAACGCAGATCACGACACAGCAATCTGGCCGCATGTAATCCTCCAATCCCAAACGGATACCCCGATTCCAAGGTCAATCTCTAAGAGATGTACATTCCAATCCCAATATTTGAATTTACTATCGACAACGAACAGATACAGCAAAACAAACGAGGTTGAAGGAACTGGCGGGATACGTACCTTGAACGAGCGAAAAGGCGGCGGATCGGGGAACAGGAACCGGTGCGACAGAGATAAATCGCTTTGTGTGAGGGGCTGAGATTGAGAGGATTGGTTCGAGAAGGAGATTGAATTGGATAGCTTGAGGGAAAAGAGAGAGATGGTGAAATGAAACTGAATCGACGAAATTAGGGTTCAATGTCCGCTCAGACGTGTGTGGCAGAATTTCAATTTTGATTTGTCTTGTTTGTCCAATTGATTGACTAAAGAAAATTAATTAAAACTGAGTCATTTAAAGTTTTAAAATTAAGGGTGACTGCAAATTTAATAACTCCTTTTCGGCTGGTCAAATCGAATCTATTTCGAGTAGCATGAGCAATCAAATTGCGGGACGAGTCTACATAGTCGCAAGATTAGCGAACATGATAGCTTTTATATAGTTTTTTGTTCTTTGTCTCACTCTAATGTAGCATTGAACGTTGTGATTGTAATGCTTCGGCTTCTGATTGTTATGTTTCTGGTTACCCTTATCAATAATAATTAAGTTATTAATTTTGAAAAAAAATCCAATATATATGATCCACTTCAAAGCAATATCGCGATAGTATTAGTATATATGATCCACTCTAGAGCCCGACCATTAACTTTTAAAATTACTGGACATGTGATTCGCATTGAGAAATAGGAAAAAGAGTATATAAAGTTTTCAAAAATTATTCGTTAATTATGTCCAACGGTTGCATACTTGCATTACGTTTCAATCTTTTATCTTAATATAAGTATTAAACCACTCTCCTATGAGATGACATAAAATATTGAAAAGATTTATTTGCCCGAAATTTGTAAAGCACACATTTATACGTAATTGTTTATATACACTAATTGTCTGTCTATACAGACAATTACATTCAAATGTGTGTCAAATGTGTACAATTTTTGTGTACATAAAAAATTGTTATAAAAGATATGGACTCTTGCCCGCGATCCTATAGAATTGAACTTTGAAAGAGATCCACTTGTGTCTAATATTTAGATTTTAGGGAGAGACTTTTATAATATTTATAGGCATTTTCACGTAGTTGAGCATATCATGCCCATACCGACGGCCCGGCCCACATTTTCGTATAAACATCTCTTTGGGAGTCCATGTAAACCTCCAGACGTCCATATTCTCGTTCATCATTCAACCCTAACGACTATTATTCACCTTTTTTAGCTGTATCTCTTCAAATAATATTTCGTATATGTTAGTATTTTTTTGTGGTATATGTTTGTATCTTTAATATCCATCAACTGTACTTTCATTGAGAGATTTGAACAAAAAGTCAAATTAGAGCCTCCCAAAATCATTGCAATCTTATAAAATCAATAAAGAAATGGTAGAAAAAATAAGGAATAACTACAGAATAAGCCCTCGGACATACATAAAAAGTGCAAATCACCCCTTATATAGGAGGCTTTGTCCGATTGTCGTCATTTGGGGCAGTTCCTGGTGGAATTTTTCGATGAAATTTTTTTAGCATCTTATTCATTAAATCTAGTTTACTCGTACCAAATTTCAGCTAAAACTTCAATCGAGAAGGCAGTCAAATGAATTTTTGAAAATAACTTTGCAGTTAAACAACGCAGTATATTTCAGAAAATCATTTGACTGCATTCTCGGTTGAATTTTTAGCTGACATTTGGTATGAGTAAACTATACTTAATGAATAAGATGCTCAAAAAAATTCATCAATAAATTCCACCAGGAACCGCCCCAAATGGGGACGGTCCGGACAGAGCCTCCTATATAAGAGGTGATTTCACTTTTTATGTAAGTCCAAGGGCTTATTTGGTAGTTCTCCCCAAAAATAATGAAGGATTTAAAATTTTTAGGCTCGGGAGCTTTCCCGATCAAATCCGAGATTGCAATGTTAGGAACCGCATAAGAGTCGGTATCTTCGCCCAATTCCGCCAAGCCTAAGATTTGAATATCCTAACCGCCAGCTTCTCCATCTCGCAAAGAAGTATCTCTCTTTGGCCTCCACTATGTCACCTCCGTTGCAACGCCCAAGAAGGCAAGGGTTCCTACTACAGCGGCAGGTGCTCCAATGATGTCCCCTCATCAGTCAGAAAGATAATTCTGATCTTACTTTTTTTATTATTAAACAAATTAGCATGTAAAATCAAAAGTCATGTGTTGTATATATATTTGACTCCAGGCTCAATCAGGCCCCTCGACTGGCCGAGGAGACCGCCGCATAAACAGCCTAGAAAGACACAAAGGACTACATAAATTGTCTGGACAAACACCTTAGTTCGTGTCTGGCCATCAGCCTCCAACACCTCGTCCCCAAGTAAGGACTTTAGTCACTCAAGAAAACAGGCCAACAATGCAAAGTAATGACAACAAGGGCAAGGGGTTTCAACCCCTCGGCATCGATCACCTCGCCCACTGCTCAACAGTTAACACTAGTGCCACGCATTAAGTTTTTCACATTGTAAGCCTTTGGTCATAGACTAGTATTCATGTATACGTGCATTTAGTGAGCTTAACATTTATTACTAGTATAAATATCCAACACACAATCACTATCGCAACAGCAACCTGCAGACCCCGGGAGATAAGGCTCAAAGTGTTTTGCGGCATAATACTGGCAATCAAATACCGGTATGAGAATGACTAAGAGACAAGTTGATGGGGCCGATAACCTTTCCAGGTGGGTAGGTGTACATGGAGAACACTGTGGGATGAAAGTCTTTTTTATGAAGAAGAAAATGAGGGAATAATTATTAACTATTAAGGGGTAACAATTAAAAAGCATAAGAGTCACTCAGGAAAAAGCACACCCAAGAAATAATCATAAGCTGCTATTAGTCACCCCAAAGGCACACATGTAATACTTGAAATTAGCTTAAATGGATTAATAATACTACTCACACTAATAAGGTGCATCCCTTAACCCACCGTAGGTGGGAGCCTTTGCGGTACTGGGGTAAATGAAAATGAATGATAGTAATAAGGTGCATCTCCTTTAAAGGGCGCACACGGGTGAGAACAAAATGTGCAGTAAAAGACTTTGTGTTAGTCTGTGATAATATTGCTCGATCTGAGTCGCATGTAGGAGTAAGTGAGTAACGACCTCAAACCTTGCGAGGTCAGGATGTTACAAGACGTCCATGTGAAAGAGTATGAAACCATTAACGAAATAATTGTGTAGTTGTGTAGTTAGATCGGAATGCCACTCAACAATCAAAGAGGGGTGACCCTTGCCCTCTTTAAAATGGTGAACAAAATTGCACCAACATACAACAAATGTTGTTCCGCTGGTGTAGATCGAGTTGATCAGGAATGAGAATTGGAAAAAACAGAAAAGGGCACCCAATGCAACAAGTTGCTCTGTCTGCGTAGGCCAACAATGCGTGAGAATGGTGTACACATTTACCCACTAAACAATGTGTGTCTACGTAGACAAAGAAGCTGTTTGTACACATCCAATCAGTCTATATATAACAACTTGTTGCATTGGTTCCCCCCCCCCCCCCCCCCCCCCCCAAATTCTCACTCCCCGCCAACTCTGTCTACACTTCAGCATTTTTGTTTTAAAAAAAATACCCACTGCTCTTCTTTACTTTCATAGCAAATCTGTGCCTGGCCTTCAGGCTTCAACATGTATCAATTTAGAAAAATGCTCGAGGTACACAAAATGTGTACACATATCTGTCCTTTACAGAAATTTTGTCTGTCACAGACAACTCATTTTGAATTGTGTGTGACAGACAAAATTTCTATGAAGGACAGACATGTGTAAACATTTTGTATACACATTTTGTGTACACATTTTGTGTACCATAGCAAAACTCATCAATTTATGGATGCTTTTTGCTTCTGCTTTCCAGCTTGTGGTGGGAGGTTGATGGGTTTGGTCAATATTCCCACTTTGACACTCACACATGCTCTTGTACATTACATGGGTTAAATAGAACCAAACAAAAAAACACTATTGTGTGACTCATATCATCTTTTCTATGACATCAAATTTCACCCACCAGAGTTAAATCCCAGTTAAACTGACAGAAACGCAATCAGAGCAGCTTCGACCATAGCATTAGATTGATGATGATCAATCTCCCTTTTCTATCGTCTTCTGTAACATTCCTTGATCGTCCCAAGCCTGCACTTCAAAATCACAGCAATGCCGCGAACTCATTTCGTAAATTCACTTGCAATTGGAATTTCATGGGCGAAAATTCTTCAGTTTTACCAACTTTGGTATCATCTGGTGGCCGCGGGCGTTTTGATGCTGCTTTTAAGTCCTTCCCTGGAAAACCATCCTCTGGACAGCAGGCACTAGAAGTTGAGCAAGTGGAGCATGAGGTTCGAAGGTTGTTTTCCAACCTCAATCAATCAACTTTGAAGAGAGAACCTGGTAATAATCAGAATAATTCATGCAGATATAATGTATTCTCTCTCTCTCACTTTGACACTCATTATTACTTGTTTTTCTCCTGTGCTGCTCTATAGGAAGCCTTACCAGTGCAATTTTTCTTGTTGCTGGCACCAGTGTATGTTCAATGTGGTATTGTTGTACACATCATTTATGGTGCTTGGTTTTCAGTGTTTCTTTGAAATATTTTACTGAGCAATTCCAATGCAATGAATTCTTGATAAATAGATAGGAGCAGGTATACTTGCTATTCCTGCAGTGACACAAGAATCCGGATTTATTGGCTCTGCAGTTACCTGCATTATCTGTTGGTTTTATATGGTAAATGAGTCTCCACTTATTTGAATGGTTTTTTTCAGTTCTCTTCTTATGGAAAAAGAAGACCATTTATTATCAAAAGGTGCCTGCTTGGTTTATATTGCTCCTCATTATGCATCATAATCATGAAAATGTTTCAGATCATATTTCTAGTTATTGCTTTACCCCTCCTATCATCCCCAGTTCACCTATGTTTACAAATTATGCGTTGAAATCTGAAATGGTGCAGGTGGTAACTGGGCTACTAATTGCTGAAGTCAATGTGAAGACTATGTCTCAACTAGGTTCCAGTGGTGTGTCCTTGGTAATTTATATTATCATCATCTTATGATCTGAAAACGGGATTTCCTCTTTCCTTAGACAATGACATTTATGATACTACTAAGTAGTAAGTACTCCGTACTACATATGATATGACTAAATCATTAGTATCTATAACAATATTCCTCATCCTCATCATTGTCATCTTAACTCCCACTACTTGGGGTTAGTGCCATGAAATCTATAAGGGTGTAAAAATTAGGTTAACACTATAAACTCTTGCAAAAAAAAACACCCTGACAAAGCTTCATCCTAGACATCGTTCCTATCACAACCTTGTAAAGAAAGAATAAGCATCCTCGATATCTTTATGAAATCAAAATCAATTTTGATGAAATAATAGTCCCTAATAACAACTTTTACGTGATCTGTTGTTATAAGTGAGGTTGCAATGATCTTCATTTTCTAATTACATTTAAGCTTCATGACTTGAGACTTGAGAAGGTATGTATACACATGTCCCAGCTCAAGTATAAATATTTAATGGAATCTACCCTATCAAGAGTTGGGTTGAGATTCTTATTTCAGTAGTGGTTCACAAATCACAATAAGCATTGTTTAGAAAAAAATTATGCAAATTAAGTAGTCATCAAAGGGAGAAATACTTGAATATGTTAACTTCCATTAAGGAGTCATCCGATGGTGTAATCGAATATTAAGATTGATAACGAAAGAAAGAAATTGTAAAATATCATTAATTATTGTCTAGATTTTAGAAACTAACAAATCAACAACAACAACCAAGCTTTTTATCAAAAGAGATTGGGGTCAACATATGATATTGGAGTTAAAAACAATAAATAGAAAAAGAGTGAGATAAACAATATAAGATCAATCATTCATGGATTCCACGCATATACCCTTGCTTCACTTCACCCTCTCCAAAATCATACTCTAATCTACCCAAGATGAGAAATAACACATACAGTGAATCAGAGGAAGCATATTTTATTTTCTGTGAGCTATATTATTGCTTTTTATTTTATTTTATACGCTTCTTGTATGTGATGATTTCAGGTGTCAATGGCCATGAGAACCCTTGGTAATACAGGTGTACAGATTGCTAGGTATGCTTTTGACACCCTAAAACGGGAGTTCTTTCAGTTTTGAGCTCATAATTGTATCCGTGGTGTCCATACAAGTGATTGCATAGCAAAAAAGATCATACAAACTATTTACGTTCATTCATATTAGAACAAACCAGACAAGAGCAAACTCAATAAGAGTATACCATAATTACATAATAGAAAACACACATGATACCAGACCATAACAGAATTAGACACACCATGCCAGACTTATACAGCCAAATTTAGAGAAAATTTCGGTCACTGAACAGTTCCATATTACAATAATTTAGGTAATGTGAAGTTCGTATGATAACTTTCCCATTCTAAGGTTTTTTTAATCTTTCTGTGGAGTGCACATAGTAAAATTTTACACTAGATCCAATTTGTTCTTTCTATAGAGCTTGAAAATGACAAGACTTGGAGGGGCTTAGGGTTGACACACAATCTAAGTAATCCATTTGGGAGACCATATATATTTTATTTCATGTGTTAGCCCTTTCTATGCCTCCTCACCGAGAATTCTTAATCCCCGTTTGACCCCTTCTTTATTGACTTATTGGTAAGATTTTTTACTAATTACTAATTGTATAGCTGAACCGGACAGTAAAAAAGATGCGCAGAAGGAAAAAAAATTGATGAATGGTTGAAAAGATTATTGTCACTTGTACTCATGCTTTGGATGTCACTATCTCCGCTCTTAAATAATTGCAACATGCTGGCAGTTGGACTATTTGCATATGTACTTTGATCACATGTTATTTATTATTGTATAAATTTTGAACAACAATATTAAATTTGTTTTATTTTATATTTTCAATATCTAATTTTTATAATTTTAGTAATAGCCAATTAAATATACTAATGGTCAAAGTTGCATGTTGGCAAGCGTGAAGATGTAAGTGATGCAACTAAATAAGAAAGGTAGAAGCATTTATTTTAATTTATTAAAAAACAATTCTAAAAAAACAGCATGCCGTAAAAAAGGGTTCTTCCTAAATTATTACTTAAACAAAACTTATGGGCAAAAATGTGAATAAAGTTACTATGAGTAAAATATCATGGTCACTACAGTGTAAACATGAAAATAATCATAGTCACTAAAAGTTACTAATATAGTCACTGCGAATAAGATGACACATTTTTGTCAATCATTACTACTTTAGTCATATATAAGTCATTCTTTCTATAATAAAATCATCAGTTAGCCATACAATGAGGTTGACATAGCCATACCATTATGAACCTGGCTTTTTTGCCCAAATATTCCCACTGCAGAAGCTTCAGCTTAGGCCAAGAATGACCCATCGTCATTATCTCAGTCTGCAAGCTTGCTGTTTCCCATCCAGACATGGCTTAACTCTTCCTTGAAGCAATGAAGAAATCCCTCCATCTTCTAGCTTTGACCATATAATGCTGCAGAATCCAAGCCCCCCCCCCCCCCCTGCACTAATTGCATATCAGTTTCTATATTTGACTAGTTTGAATCCCCCTGGAGGGGTCGTTAACTTCAGGGCTCGTGAGATTATTTGGAACAAAACAAAAATTATAGCTTGCATTTCAGCACTCTCAACATAGGAGCACTTCACTTTTCTGGATCCTAATATCCATTTAAAGTACATTTTTATATATTTTAGCTCAATCAGACCATTGATTCGTTCCCGTCTCAAACTCACAATATCAACACATTGAGCTCATTTAATAATTTTACATTTTCACCTGTATATATCTATGCAAAATGAGGTCATTAAGGGAGGGGGGATGGTGACTGGTGACTAGTTTTTGTTTGCGTATCTTACCATGAGCATCAGTATTAAATGGAGCAAAAACTATAGTTTCATAAATGCATTGTTTATGGTGTTCGACTGTTCTGGATATGATGTATGTTTGTGTATATCTATGGAGTTCTGGATAGCCTTTTTTTGCCAAAAAGAAAATAGTATAGTGGTTTTTTAGTCAGTAACATCAGAGGGCCTAATTCTTTTTTATTGCTATATCTGATGTTCAACCCAGTTTTTAACATGCTTTGCATTGTTTTTACCTGTGCAGCTGGTCATACATTTTCATCCATTATGCGCTTCTCGTGGCTTATGTGGCTCGTTCTTCTGATTTATTGACAAGCTTCCTCGACATTCCTCTGTAGGCCTTTTTTCAAATCATTATTGATAAAAGATAGAAATTTCCTTAAATAAAAGTATAAACAATGTGAAATTCTAAAGTAGGAGTACTGTGTTATTCCCTTAAATATGGGTAAGTTACTGTCATACTAAAATCATACTGTCATCATTTGGCATTACTTAGTATGGTAATGGTAGTATTAATGCCAAAATTGGCAGTATTTTCCAAACATGTTAGTAGTTACTTCTATATAGGGGGGAAATTGTACTTTTATTTCGGAATTTCACGTTGTTTCTACTCCCATTTAGGACAACTTCTGTATAAGATAGTATGGAGTCTTTTGCTTTGTGGAATTTCCATTGATACAAGTCTGATAATATGTATTAAACCGGGTGATTGATCACACATACGCTGGACTGCGCTTTCTGTCGAATATTACTCAAGGAAGGATATTTTCCATTTAATACTTTGTTTTTTTCAAGGGAAATAGAGAAGAAAGAAATAGGGTAGACACTAGACAGGACCAATACTTTCTTGTTTGAAAAGGAGACTAGTAGTCTAGTAGAAAGAGAGTAACCTCACCATTGTTTTCTAACAATAATGTTCCTTGTATGCTATTTTAACTTATGTCATTAGAAAACACTTACCTTTCTTTTTCGATTAAATGCCCCTCATAACTAACCATAAACAAAATCAATCTATTCTAATGTTTTTTATTTCTTCTCGTAGTTTTTCAATTCTCACTCTCTCCTCTATATCTGTTTTCGACCAAACAAACCATCACAGAAAAAGTAGCGAATTTACACACTCGTCTTACAGTCATTTACTATATTACCTATCATTCACTGCAGTTCCTATGACTATTTAATAGGACGGTACTGTAAGTACACTCATATTTTTGTTAGGTGTTGATGGGCAGCATTATAAATGCAGATGGGAAAGTGGAACACTGTTTACACTCCTTCTGGGTGGCCTTTGCTTCTTTGGAAGGTTTTGTTACCTCGGCTCGTTTTCTGTTTGCAGTGCCCTTGCTTAATGATTCCTCTCAAAGTTGATTCAATAATATATTTTGCTCATGAAGGGGAGAATTAGCGCACCGGTTATGGTGTTGTTGTGTGATCGATAGGTCATGGGTTCAAGTCTTGGGAGTGACCTTTTGTCAATATGACAAGGGAAGACTTTTCTCTTATACACCCTTTTAGTGAGACCCTTCCCCGGACCCTCGCCTTGCAGGGATGCCAATGTGCACCGAGCTGCCCTTTTTACCATCTTCTGCTCATGAAATTTGTTTCTTGAAGCTGTCCTATTATGTTCTTCCTTTTGATTAATGAAGAGGGTCTTTTAGACTGTAGACTTATTCCTCTTCTTATTTTACTTCACCAAACCGGTGGTTTGTGCTTAATGTCAACACATTTTTTCTATTCATTTAGATGTTAGAAAAATACAATATTCAATTAAGAAATGCCAAAAAGGGAACAAGTTAATAACCCTTTGCAGTATTATATTTTGTTATTCTCAAATTCTCATGGAAAAACTTTCCTGTATCTTTATTCTCCTCTGGTGGAGATGTGAACATGGGATTCCTTGATTTTTTCCATGAAAAGTTATCCTGTCCCCAAAGTAAGGCATAATGTTTAAAGCACTACCATGCATTTGCTATAATGAACTGAATATGAGTACTTTACCTCTTTTATACTTCAGCATTCTGTCTGTTAACTTCTTGTGCTGCTTCTGTTGCATAATTCCACAAACTGTGATGTAACTTCCTATTTCAATTTTACATCAGCCAGAGAGTCGTTGGAGCGGTTAATGGTACACTGGTCCTCGGAATAGTCATCTCTTTCATAGCTCTTGTGGTAACTCCAATTATCGATTAGCTAAAATTCTTTGTACATTACAACTTTGGACACATCGTTTGGAGCATATGCGGAATGTATTGTGGAAGTGCAATCACATGTAAAAAAGTTTATATGTTAATGTTTTGTAAAACTCCAAAGATTCTTACCGATACCCCATGAAAATAAATTTCTTATTAATAGATGCACTTGATTGCTAGTTGTTGCACACTTGCACATAACTTTCTATAAATGGTATAGAGAGAAACCTCACTCCCTGTGATCTTCTTTAGATTGTTGCTAGTGAAGAACTGCACTGGGAGGCTCTTTTGAAAGCTAACTTTGAAGCTGCACCTCAAAGTATACCCATAATAGCTCTTTCTTTTGTCTATCATGTGAGAAAGTTAAACATGTGAAAACACACTGTTCCTACAAATTGTCTCCGTTGTTTCAATATTATAACCAATTGCCTATTTTTTGGTTTCAGAATGTAGTCCCTGTTGTATGTACAAATCTTGAAGGAGACTTGTCAAAAGTGAGGTGATGAATCTAATGAGTATCTTGGTCATGAAATCCTATCACTGTTCTGATATTCTTTTCTCAGTCTGTAAGAATTGAGTAATAATTATAGGCATATAGTCAGGAACTTGATGAATGTGGTATGTTTTAGGGCATACAGCCCACATGTTTGACACTGTTAATTCATGGGCATTTATGGTGAATATAATCTGTTATTTCAATTCATCATAAAAAGTTTATTTAGAACTTTATATTGGGGTAATCACATAGTTTCCTACAACCGCAATAGTTGTAGGGGAGATGCAGCACGAGAAGGTTTAATAGTCACAAAGTATGGAGTGCATGATTTTTGTTCAGTAAATATTAGCTGTCAAATTAATTGGCTTAATAAATGGCCTTGTTATTTTTTTGGGTTTGTAGTGTTACCTTTTAAATCAAATTATGGTAAGGTTATAAGATACGAAGTATTAGACTACCAGTATTAGACTAACATAATAAATTCTTCAGCTTCTGTTCTTTCTTTGATCGTTATTTGCATATACCACTATGCTCCCTATACATTAACTATTAGCAATCTGTGCATAACTTATGTAGGGTTTGTCATGATGCTATGTTGCCTATGTGTAAAGCTACATATGACATTTTATGGATTTTAGTGAATGTGAAAAGAAAAACCACCGGTTTTCATTTTTTAGGCTATGTTAGTTTGGAGAAGTCAATATTTGTTATAGCAATCCATCTTTTTCCCAATGCTGAGGGTAATTTCTAGATAAAAATCATGTGAGGCATTATGGCATTTCTATGAACAAGGATCGCATGGATTCTACTTACTAAAATGTATTACTTCTTTTATTACATTCTTTTGCACTTGTATTTTCATGAGGATCGCAATGAGCGGTTTATGTACATCTGTGCGCGCATACCTCACAAGTGATAATGGTCACTGACTTTTTGAGTTTTTGCACACGGCTGCAGATTTTTTTTTTTTTAGATTTTAATTCCCTGTTGACTGGTGCACTTGTGACATTCTTGAAGATCAAATATTCAGCAAGCTGTTAAAGGTGTTAGAAATTTTTGTGATAAAAGTCACTTACTTTATAGCCCTGCAGGAATGCAATTGTTCTGGGAACAGCCATACCGCTTGCTCTCTTTCTTGTTTGGAATGGTGTTATTCTTGGAACAATATGTGATCCTGAAACAGGCTTGGACAAGATTGGTGACCCAGTGCAGCAGTTAAGATCTTCAAATGGAGTTGTTGGGGTGTGCTATTCCACTTGCGATCACTTCTAATTTCTTTGTTTACTCATTTAAATATTTTTCTTGAATGTTATAATCTACAAGAACTAACCGACTGTTTCTTCTTTGAATGCTCTAATCTACAGGCAATAGTTGATGTCTTCTCACTTTTTGCGATTGCTACTTCTTACATTGGATTTATCTTGGGCCTCACTGACTTCCTTGCTGACTGTGAGTGAACAATATTAACCAAGCTTTTCCTTCCTAAAAATGAAACGTGATGATTATTTGAGTATGAACCAGAAAAGAAAACTGGGAGATTATTTCAGCCTTTCAGGAAGGAGAGCGCGCATAGTGATGTCTTATAAAATGTGATTGCAGTATTATTTGTTACAGATTTGTATTGTGTCCCATTTCTTCAACTTTTCTTTTCCTGATTAAGAATATGCCTTAACCTTGGCTTCAATTTCGTGAGAAAATGTTTTCATGAGAAAATGATTTTTTTTCCAATGCCAAAACAGAAAATCTAGATTATTCAAAAAAAAAAAAATCTAGAAATTATTTTTCCAGGGATATGATTCAGTGGAAACAAACAGACCCTAAGTTTCTTCATGAATGGAGCAAATTCCAGTGTGATTTGCACATGCATGAATCTTTAAACACAGAGAAGTTCCTATGCTTAAAACATATTAGAATAAATTCACACTGGAATTTATTTCTTTATTTGTTCTACATCATATATTATGTCTTACATGGTCATTCACAGTGCTCAAAATCCAACGTGCGGGCAAAAACACCCCAGTGACGTATCTACTTACTCTGATTCCTCCATTGGTACTATCATTGCTCAATCCAGGGATCTTCTTCAAGGCCTTGGATTTTGCTGGGACATATGGAGGTAGGCTCACTACTACGTGTGTGAAGCACACACTGACTAAATTTGTTTTTGGTAATGCAGACCAACCATGTCATGGATGGATTCTTAGGATAATAATTATTTAACAAGTTCGAACTTGTATAGATTTTAGCTACTGAAATATACTATCAATTTCCCTGTTTAATCTTCGTATTTGACTTTTCAAGTCAAAATATGTCATCTTCGGCTACTACATTCTCATAAAATATACTTGTATAAACCAAATTGTTTTGATATACATCGTATAAAGTAATGATCGCGTTCTTGGATTCTAATTGTTTCTGTTGGGGGTGGTTATGAAGTTTTGGTGCTGTTTGGAGTCCTGCCGGCCGCAATGTGCTGGTCTGATAGATATTCAGAATCAGGCAAATCTCAGACAAACGTACCACAACTTGTTCCTGGAGGGAGGCCCTCACTATTGCTTGTGCTTGGAGGTTCAGCATATATCATTCTCACACAAATACTCCACAGCTTTGAACATTGAACAATTTGTAAAAACATTTTGTTATGGCAAACATTCAAAAGTTTGTAGATCTTTAATGTTACTACTACAAGTGTGAGGTTTTTGTGTTGTATTACTCTAATCAATTACTCCAAGGTAGTTGCCTAATTGTGATTAAGGTTTTGGTGACATGATCAATGATGTTCCACTACTACATAGAAACACGTTTGTTTTCAACTCATTATTGTATCATTATATTCATCACCCCCAAGCTACTAGGATTGCTATTGAAAATCTAGTTTGCACACAACCTGAAAGAATCTGGCATTTTATCAATGTGTACCACAGTGAATCAGATTCCCTCCTGAGCAGATCTCCAGCATTCATCTCCAGGAGGGTACTGGGAGAGAATGTGATATAAATAGTGTAAATGAGTGGCGAAGATATTTTGGGAGTGCAGTGGGGTAATGTGATGTGAGAACACACAGGTAGGGGCAACGACTCTGCATGGCGTTGCATAAACCCATGAAAAAAAAAGTCAGCCCAAGACCCAAGTACTCTTTTCAAATGCAAAATGTGGCTGTTAATCTATTTTATAAAGAAATCAAACAGTACATAACAGTTATCAGTTACACCTCATACAAAATGACATTTTTTAACAGCTCTATTAGCTGCTCCACAAATATCATGCAGCGACTAAAAAAGAAATCATCTGTTTTCCGGGAAAAGAAAAATTGAAGAAAATGGGGAAGAATATCCATCCTAGAATGAATGCTTGCATATCAACACAGACCCTAAAAGGATTTGATTTTCCAGTTTGGCATTCAGCATCAGGTGATTAAGAATAAAAGAAGTACAGCCCAAATAAGCCAAAGGTGCATTGTTTTGCTAATCTACAGCCATTGCTTCAGGAAGTGCACCAGTATCATCCTCCACAACCCCATTCTTATGGTCATCCATTGCTGTCCTCATCTCCTCAACCAAACTCTTTTGTTCTTCATCTATTGTGTTTTGAAGCTCGTCAACCTGATGAAGCAAGATATGGTTCAGTCAACCGTTAATAAATACAGTTATCAGAAGAATAAAGCCCACAAAACAACAAAAGTGCTTTTTTCAGTGCACTGAAAAGAATTTTAAAGGTTACTCAAGTTAGAATTACATCATGAGTTGAGAAGTGAAAACCAATACGTTTTTCCCTGAATCTACATTTCTATACGGCTATACCATGTGAGAATAAAACGTCTGACCTTACTATTAATTCCCTTAACAAAATAATAACCACTTTCTAATTTTTCTAGCACACATTAAAGTTGGGCTTCTTAGTGTGAGTTGAGGGGAGAGGTTTGGAGGACCACATTTTTTAGAGTGAATCCACATCTTTCTGATATACTCACATTTGAAATTTTATAATAAATGAAAGAGTAACATAACAAGGACAAAATTTGAATCTCCCTTTATAACAAACTCTTAGAGTGTGTTTGGAGGTTGGGTTTTGGAGGGGAGGGGAAAGTTGACGGGGATTTATGACCCTCGCTTTTATGTTTAGGAGTAAAAAAAATGGAGGGGATGGTTTTGGAACTTTTAAAACCTTCCATAACCCCCTCAATGCTCATTTTTTAAGTTCCCCCAGTTTGGAGGGTTTTAAAGGATAATTAACAAAATATAATTTAAACTCAATTTAAAATGGGTATTAGTTCAACTATTTGAATTCGCCATATCTCAGAAGTGATTTTAATCATAATTCCTTCAAATACTCTCTTTTTCCAAATTTATTACTCCCAAATACGAAGAAGGGTTTTATCAACTTCACCTTCACCTCCCCCTCCCCTACAACAACTTACTTTTAAAGCATTCCCCTCCCCTTCCCCCCCCCTCCCCTCCCCCCCCCCCCCCCAAACTCCCAAACATAGCCTTAAAGTTCACCGACATGGTATGTTTAGAATATTGAATCATTAGCAAAATCCTATCATCGAAAAAAGTGATCCATATTATGCAATGGGAGATATATGCAATCAGGACTATGAATACTATCATCCCAAAAATGTGGAAGCAACAAATGCAATTGAGTAATTCAACTTTGACCTCACCTTCAGAAAAACAATGCATTTCAAGAGCTAGCTTGCTATTTATCTACAACAAGGTATATACCTATTGGCATTTTCCCTATGCCCCTCAAACTTGCAGCATGTAGTTTCCTATAATATCTTGTGTGAGACAACTTGTTCAATTGATATTCCACAAAGACAATAAACAGAACTGAAAGTGAGTAACCCCCCCCCCCCCCCCCCCCGAAAAATGGCAAGAACTACCCATACCTATGTCTACTACATAGTTCATGCACCAAAAGCACAATGAGAACTAACTTAATTCCATTTGGTGTAGGGGGGCACATACCACATGTAGCAAAAGAGTGAATTGCTTTTTGCGCAGCTCCAACGTTCTCGAACTAGCAGTGTTTTCTGCCTCTAATGCTAAAATTTCCTTCTCTAGTTCCGTGATAACATTTTGGGTCACTGATCTGGCTGGCTGCATTGCAATCAACTTCCTAATTGCCTCACACTCCTCCTTGTGCTTCCTCTCTATCTTGCTCTCTTCCAGTTGTTTCTTCAAATCTTCTATGTCAGTTTGGGTCTGTATAATTTGCCTTTTAATTTCATCATTCAAGTCATTGAAATTCTCCTTCTCTCTAACATTTGCTTCGATGACAGTTTTGCTTTTCAGGAGCGGAATCTCAAAAGTGTTTAGTTCCTGCAAGAAACTCTTGGCAAGTCTTTCACAGTCAGCCAAGTTATCGGCTTCCTTCTGTACCTCTAATGCAAAAGCAGTAAACTTCTTTTGAAGTTTCTTTAGTGGAGGTTCGCCCCTTGTGGTTGTAGTGCGGGTCAGAAGTCTGTGTTTTATGATCAAGTCATCTTCATGTTGGCCAAAAGCATAGTGTGCACCCACAGTCTCCCCCTTGCCAGCAACTTTCCTACCTTTACCCAACATTTTATATGTATGTGCGTACCCCTTCAATAGTAAAGCAGCTGTTAGACATCTACCATTTCAACACGGTCATTGGATTATCCTATGGAATGTTATCACATGCATACATGATACATCATACACTATAGCACTCAAATACTCAAGGTGTTTTCTATGTCTCTAAATGAAAATTCAAATAAAAGATGATCACAAAATATCAAAAAAAGATCATATTACCCAAAAAACAAAGTTCTTTGACACCTGAATGGCTTAATTCATAGTAAATAAGTAAATAACTTCAAGAACAATCACACAGCTGTCAAACTTTACACAGCTGTTCTCAATTCTCATTTCTCATAATATCGATTTTAAGCACAATAAGTACATCTTCCTGCACTCTATCAGAAATACACACCTCTTCAACTCTATATACAAAGATCTTTTTAAACACTACTCCGTACTCCTTAATTTTTATACACAATTTAAACGGCCTCCATCAGCAACAATCACCTTTACCAGGATATGCGACTTCTTCTCGAGTCAACTAGAAATGTCTACTTAATTACCGCAACACTTTGTACAACAAAGAAACCACATTTATGTTCAGGACAATAAGTGTTGTCAATAAGCCGACTAAATTTCTTTTAGACGCTATATATAGATCATGATGCATCCAAATCCATAAATTAAAAGCATGAATCGAGCAAGGGTTAGTAAAACTAGCAGAATTGAGTACATAACTACATAACATGCTTGAAAAGGATTAGTTAAAGCCTGAAAGGCAAGTATCGAATCAATAGCTCAGATTCCTAAGAGAAGCAAGATTAGCGGAAACGAATGCATGGCAATAACTTAAAAATTAAAGGCTTGAGCCAATTAGATGATAGGGCTCACGTAAGAATGGTGCGATAAGCAGGGGCGTAGCCAAGATGGATGTTTACCCTGGGCCAACTATACACTAAAAACATTATATAAAAAATTTTGGCAAAAAAACATTATATAAAAATTTTAAAAGCGTAAATAGTGTGAACATAATGATTAAAATCCATAAAAAATCATAATAATATTTTTAAATAGTACATACAATATTTGAAACTAAAACGTTAACTGAACACGATGTTCTTTGACCTTAGCAGACTCAACGTTGATTTTGTTAGCAAATTCTTTTTCAATAAAGATGGTCAAACAATCGCCAAGAAATTCATCATTCATCTTGTTACGAAATTCAATATGCCTTATGTCATTATGTGTTGTTGGAGAGTATTCCAACCAATTAAATTCATTGAACCAACTAACTTGAAAACGACGCATCTTATCTTTGTATTCTCGGCCTTTGTAAAAGTTCAATTTCAGTTGATAAGGTCCAAGCTTCAAATAATCGCCTAATTTCATCTCTTTTCCCTATAGGCCAATCACTTATTGTTTTCCATTTTCCCTGATCCCTCTCAATTACAAGGCCAATTACTTCCTCTTGAGCGGATGGGATATTAGGAGTTTCAATTGAGACATCTCTTGTCTGTTTGGTGTGCTTGAATTGAACTAGGCTTATAAGTTATAAAACGAGTGCAATGTGATTTTTGCCTTTTTGGAAGTAGATTGAGCAGCCGCACCTACTAAAATTAGCAAAAAAATGAAAAAACAATCAATGTTTTATTTTAATTCATTTAATTCATATTAATGTTTAATAAATTGACAAATCACATTTGACATTCCTAATTTTTCATTTCACAATTCAAAGCACACAAATCAATTGTGACACTAAGTCACTAACACAAACTAAAATAACAAATACGGAGTAAAATACTAAAATTAAACTAAAAATTGTAAAAACAAAAAAATGAAACATTTACCTTGGCAGTTGGCAGCTTGACTGTGTGGAGACTTTGAGTTCTCGAGAGAACTGGAGAAGCAGGTCAGCAGTCAAGCAGGAAGAGCAGGAACGTAGCTACGCAGGGATAGCGGCGGAGCCGAGGAGAGGGCGTCCGGCGAATCGGCGGTGCGAGCGGTCTGCTGCGATTGGCGATGGGATGCGTGAAGCGTCCGTCTCTGACTTGGCCGCTTGGCGAAGCGATGCGTGAAACGTCCGTCTGCTGCGTTCTGTTCTTTAGCTTGGCACTATACTGTTTATTTCTAAATAGACCAATTCTATTTAGAACTGGGCCAGAATGTTTCTACACTGGTCCAGTCTTTTTTTTGCACTAGACCAATTCTAAATATTTTTTAAAAATCAATCAATCAATATATATAAAACAGGAACTTTCCGTACGGCATGGCACATAATTTTGTCATGTCATCATCTATAATAATTACTCTATATTCAATTACTTTCGGAAAAATTGACAAGAATAATCTCACCTTTCATTGATCTTTTTCATAATAATGCCACATTTACATAATCCCAGAATAATCTCACCTTTGTTTCATTTGACCCTGAGCTATCATGTTTTTATCCTTTCTTTGAAAATCTTATATAAATAAAGATATAATAAAAAAGTGAAAGGTTAGATTGTTTATATAAATTTCAAAGAAAGGGTAAAAAACCTGGTGTAGTATGTCATCAACAGATTCGAGCCCAATGAAAGAAGATGGAGTGTAAAGGTGAGATTATTTTGGGATTACGTAAATGTGGAATTATTATGAGAAGACCAGTGAAAGGTGAAATTATTTTTGTCAAATTTTCCATTACTTGTTATACATTTTATATTTGTATTACATTCTATTTTTATTGCATATATTGATATGGAAACAAAAGATTGTAGAATAGAATCCACCTTATTCAGTAACTTTTTGAGAACCTATTACTTACTCGTATTAATTTGGATAGTTATTAAATTGGAACCACAACAATTAATAGCCTTATATATTAAAGAGGAACTTTTTAAGAGCATACGGCGTGCCACATAATTTTGTCATGTCATCATCTATAACAATTATTCAATTACTTTTAATACCTTTTATATTTTTATTACATTCTATTTTTATTGCATATTGATATGGAAACAAAAGATTGTAGAATAAAATTCACCTTATTTGGTAACTTTTTGAGAACCTATTACTTACTCGTATTAATTTGGATAGTTATTGAATTGGAATCACAATGATTAATAGCCTTATATATATGTATAAAAGAGGAACTTATTAACAGCTTACGGCACCACATAATTTTGTCATGTCATCATTTATAAAAATTATTCAATTACTTTTTATACCTTTTATATTTTTATTACATTCTATTTTTATTACAGATTGATATGGAAACAAAAGATTGTAGAATAGAATCCACCTTATTTGGTAACTTTTTGAGAACCTATTACTTACTCGTATTAACTTGGATAGTTAATTATTAAATTGAAACCACAACAATTAATAGTCATCCGTACACGGAGTATATTTTATATCAATTATTTAATTATTGTTCATACCTAACACATAAATCATCCAAATTTCTATTAATTTTGTTCTTCAAAGTTACTCCGTATTTTATAAAAATAAAAAAGTAATAATAGTGTTCCATTTCCTAAAATTATTGTTCATACCTAACACATAAATCATCCAAATTTCTATTAATTTTGTTCTTCAAAGTTACTCCGTATTTTATAAAATAAAAATGTAATAATAGTGTTCCATTTCCTAAAATGTAATATTTTATTTTTCTAAACTTAATGTTTTTTTGAATGTTTCCTAAACTCATTGCGATGATGACTAAAATTATATATAAGCCTTAGATTTGCTCTTTTGCAATTGTGTTAAAACTTTGTACTTTTCTTGCATCTTTATACCATTCTTTCTTAGTGGTTGAGATAATGATGAAAATTATAACCACAACATTGTTTAACTTAACAAAATGAAATTGATATATATTATTGGATGATCATATATGAAACATTTAAAACTTCTGATCAAGAAGCTTACCTTTATTAGGATGGAAATTCATACCATACAAATATGGTATGAATATGGGTTTAAATATAAGTTTAAATATGGTTTTAGTCACTGCAAATATGGCACACTTTGTTTTAGGTTCCTGCAAAATATTTTCTTTCTTTATCATCCCTGTAATATGCACCATGTTGGTTTTAGTCCAACTCCAATACTACTCTAATTCGAATTTTTTTTACTATCAGTTGCATAAATCTACTAGAAACATTCAAACTCATCAGTTTATAATTTTTTTGAGATTAATAAGAGAGTTAAAACAATATTCAAACTAATTTATTTGCATTTTTTAAATATGTATTATAACCTTTTGAACAATGAAATTAAATACTTTTTGCATGGCATGACAAAGAATTAAAGGATACCTATTAGTCGGGTTCTTTCGTTGTCAAGCAGAGGTTGTTATCATTAGTCAATGACTAAAACAAAAACCAACATAAATTTTAGGGGTGAAAAACAAAGAAAATATTTTGCAGGGACCTAAAACAAAGAGTGATGTATTTGGAGGCACTACAAACATATTTAAATTATCAAAAGTAAATAAGTTTAGCCTCGCCAAAAAAGTAAATATGTTTAGTTGCTTCTTTATTTTTAGGATGTTTTTACTTGGGCTTTTTTCAGTCCCAGACCAGACTAGATCAGACTTAAACAGATCATACCAGACTTGATTTCCGTAGTTATAAAATACACGGTCCAAGACCAAACTTAAAAAAACCAGACTAGACCAAACTATACTTAGACAGACCAGACCAACAAATTACAGTCCAAGTAAAAACATCCTTACAACTACAATTTAATTATTACTTCACATTTTAAATAGATTCCTAATCCAAATTAGGAAATCTTCATACATTTAGGATGTTTTTAATTGGACCGATTTCAATCCCAAATAAGATCGGATCAAACATCAATAATAATAATTATAATAATAACAATTATTATTATTATTATTATACACTCACAAAATATACATCTTCTAGACCGTATTATACTAATTACTTCATACCAAATTAGAACTTAAAATGTCAATCCAATTAAAAATATCCTTATTAATGACGTTTTCAATGTGACGAAATAATGAGTAGATTGTGAAAATGATACTACGTACATTTTTTTTACATTTTCAATGTTAGGAAATAATGAGTAAAATGTAAGATCTCACTAATAAAATTTACAAAATACTTATTTCATACCAAGTTGAATGAGAAATATTAAAAAAATCAGTGTATCGAAATGCTCAATAAATAAAGTAATATAAAGGATGTGAGATTAATTAAGAAACTTTAATTTTGTGCGAGTCCTTTAAAATCAACTTCACAACCATTATGTTAGTTGAGATGCTTATGTAGATGTCCATTTTTAAATATTTTTCAAATAAATTTTATTTTATTTTAGTAATTATATACGTAGTACTTCTAATTTTATTTTATTTTTCATAATTTGGGAGATTTTGTCAATTTAGCCCAATTAGTTAGATTTAATTCATTATAGTAGAGTCAGACAATTTGAAAAATTTTAGTATTATCAAGCGGCTTTATATTAGACCGAGTTTATTTTACTTTTGCATCACATTAAATTATACTCTGTATATGATTTCAAAAATATCAAATTTATAATTAGCTAAATTATGTATTGCCCATACTCCGCAAGGGCTTGAAAACTAGTTCATATATAATAAAAAAACAAAAAAAAATGTCCTGGGCCAGGGCCCAACCAGGCCACCCCCTCCTTCCGCCCCTGGCGATGGGGTTAGGTAATTTACCATATTTTCAAATTTGCAGCAACAAAAGTACATTAGGAGTGGGAAAAGGAGGCACTTTACCGGTGCAAAGGCGGCTGACTCGATGAAGAGAGGGTGTCGGGATGATCGTTCTTCGGGTTCACTAAGCTAGTCCGGCGAACAGGTGGGCGCTAACACTCTAGGGATCTCCGCGCACCCACTCTTTTTTATGCTGCTGCTCATTTTTTCCGTTTTGAATTAATTTTAATAAAATAAGATAAATTTGTTATAAATGGAAGGAAATAAGCCGTAGATCAAGCAGAGAAAGCATAATATGAACAATTAGTGATAAAGATGTCATTAATGACGTATTAGAAGTGTGATAGACGTGTAATACATGAAAAGGAAAAGACTCGATAAAAGTGTTAAGCTCATTTGGATTAGAAGATAATCGTGAGCCACACAATTGTCATCCCCATAATCATAACTATGATTTTCTATTTAATTTGATAATGATGATAATAATTATCCTAATCATGAATAGTTGGAAGATGGCTAATTCAACTATATTTTAACTTTCTTCTTTGAATGGTCATCTTCTAATTATTCCGGAGTATTAGTTGTCTCATTAAAAAACTTACTATGGTTTTCACAATGTGGTGAAAATCGGAAAAAGAATACAACATTTGATTTCATGGTATTATAATGTATTGTCTCGTTAAAAACCTTCTCAGGGAAAAAAAATCAATGGGATAAAAAACTAAACGAAAGGAAAAAGAGTGCAATACATTATAATACTCCCCGCAATTTAGCATATATCTCGAAAAGACACATTCCAATTTTGTGGACCCACTCTTCAAATTTATTTGGGGCTAATGATTTTGTGAACAAATCAGCACGATTTTGTCACATGACTTGATTTGTTTGACATCAATCATTCCATCTTTCTTAAGGTCACTAGTATTTTACACGCGCGTTGCGCGAATGACTAAATGCCCAATGTCATATACATGAAATACACTTTTCTAATGTTTGTCAGGGATGAGAGTGAACTACTTGTTTTTTAGTCTCGAGAACCACCTATTATAGGTGTGATAAATGTCAGGGAACATTTATCAATTTTTATTCAAGATGATAAGAATGTACAAACATTTTACAACAAAATAAAAAGGTAAGTAACATTTCACACTTGAGCCAGCCGCCCAAATAAAATGAGCGTCACGTGGGCGTCATGTGGTCCCAAAGGAAAAACTACAATTATGTGTACCTCATATGCTTTTAGAGAAAAGAAACATCGGCAACTTCTTTCTAGTCATTACCAGTTTTAAACTCGGCAAGGTACCGATAACAATCCCCTTTCCTGCAATTAAAAAGTAAAATTGAGCTAATAATCACAAAAAATCTAACACTTAAGGTCAGAAAAAACTTGTCACAGATCCACTTCTCACATTGTAATTAAAAATTGTAGACTCTCCATTAGAGAAAACGGGGATAAGATGATCATCCATCACTGTCATGATGTCAGTGCAAACGTTGGAGAGCTCCATCTCTACTTTTGTTTATACTCCTTGATCATCTTCACGTCCTGTTGGAGATTTTAAAAGGAAAGTAAGATTAATAGCGAAAAAAGCTCCTATAGGACGAATAAAACCAAACTGCAGTTGAAAGCATTTCCGGAAACAGCAAACTATGCATTTCCTTTCAAATGCTTTTTTAATTGCTTTTAAAGCCTTTTGGTGTTGGAGATAAGACACGTGGGACACCAGACCAGAGTTTTCACTTTTAAGATAGGGATTTCCCATATATTTCAATTATAGCCAATGTAGCTTTGATAAATGAACTAGACTTAGATAGCCATATTTTAAAAAATCTTGCTTCCATTAAAGTCCTTCAAATACAACCTAGTGCATCATCAGCAAAAATTAGAAACGTTAATCAAAATAGCAACCAAAACAATTACATACTACGGATAATATAAAATCTGAATAGAATTCAAACGCAAAACAATTACATACTACGTATAATATAAAATCTGAATAGAATTCAAATGCAAAACAATTACATACTACGTATAATATAAAATTGTGGCTTCAAATATATACTCCCATGTTCTATCAATCTTTATAAACATTCCTCTCCACTTGATGATGGGCATACAAGACAATATGCTCTCCTTTGCAACAGTAGGTGCCGCTTGGTTTAATATGGAAACCAAGATCAAACTATGAGCATAGTTTTTTAAATGACACATCTAGTGAATAAGTGATAACACTTCGTAACCTAGTTATTTTGTAATAATAGAAGCAATGCATACGACATACCAATCGAGAGCAATTTATGGATATTTGCACTAGCCTCAAGTTGCAATTCTTTATTGTCTGACCAAACAGCTTCTACTATTCCAGGAAGGCTCTGTAGCTGCAATTGAACAATTATGAAACTCAAATAGTCATCAAATTAGCATTCATTCAAAGTAGCTACTCAACTGTGTGGGATTGAAATCTGTAATCAAAATCCTAACTCTGTGATTAGTCTCAGCAGCGCAACCCAAACAATCAAGGGAACGCCGAACGCACTTTTTATTTTTACTAAAAAACAGTGATTTCACCGATTTTCTTTTCAATCAAAGGGTTCAGCAGTAGATTGTAACCTCAAAATAAGCACTGACAAAATTTGAGGCTCGTTATTAAAAAACCATGAAACTACATCCCCTTAATTAAATAAGACAAAAATGAAAAATTCAAACATAACCAAGTAAATTGGGAATAGTGATGGGCTGCTTGTATGCATAAAAAATGAATACATCGAGAGCGAATACCTTCTTGTTGAAGGTGGACGTGGGGATGGATGTAGAAAAGGGTTGTCCTTGAAGCCCATCACGGTACTTCTTCAGCAAACTCTCCTCACGTTTACTTTTTTCGTATGTCAACCAATTTGGCCTCGGTGCAACGACGGCCTTCCTCAGCGTCCACCGCAACTTTGTACTTGTTCCGGCGGCCCTCCGCCCTTTCACTGGGCCTTAGCGACATCGTTATGTCTGACGAAACAAATCCAAAATATTCAGAGCGACTGGAAAAACTGATGTACCACAAATAGATATAGTGATTTACGAGCATCTGACTCGAAGAGATAGAGTGGAAAAATACAAGAAACGGTGCAATCAAGGGTAAATGAGATTTGAACCCGAAAGGTAGGGGATCGCTGAGGGTTTCGGGTTTGTCCGAGAGAGTTTATTTTAACGGAGGTACATAACCAAACGTTGGGATTTTATTTTAACGGAAGATAAGGGACATTAATCAATGAGCACAATGGCTGAAACATAAAGTACAAGTATATTATGCTCAAGTGTTACACCAACAAATTTTATATTCCCAAAAGGGTTTAACCATCATTCACATTTATAAGATTGTAGAGATGTGTGGAAAAAAGTTTTGGTGTTGTATGCTTTGTTCTATCCCCTTTGATCTAAACTATACATGTCATGTTATCTTCATAAATTATAGTAGAATCACATATCAAGGATTCTATATCGCATTTACCGAGACGAGTATGACTATAAGCATATAATAACTTCAGTAATTTGATGGAAAATAAGTATCGGGATTTTGAGTTATAAGCATATGGTATTTTAAAAGCTCCTAGAATTCTCATACATATGTCTGTATTGAGTGAACAGCATAAATATGCAGTCAATACATCCATTAGGCACATTTGTAGCCTTTCAAAAATAGACATGCCAATTAAAAACCTTAAAGTAGTATCATCAACCATTGGAAAATACGTCTCATCATAATTGATTTCTGAGATTTGAGAAAAACTTCGGGCAACAAGTCGGACTTTGTATCTAAAGATTTAATTTTTGTCGCTGTGTTGACACACGAATATTCATTTAAAACCCAGAGGTTTTAAGCCCTGGGCGTTGGGCTATTGGTCCAGAAATATTACGTTTTTGAAACGATTTTAATTCTACCTAAAATTATTCATTCCATTTTGACCAATCATGTATTTGATGACAATCATCAATAGATTTAGGTTCATTGCCAATGTGTTCATTCATTATATCCGCGAAAATGACATATGAAAATATATAATTAACATCAACATTATTGACGTTTCTATCTTTATCTGTAATGTTTAACTCTTCAAAGGTGATTGAATCCTCTTCTGAAGTATCATTATTATTGATATTATCTTTCAAGTCGATATTTTCAAAATGTTCATTTGCTTCTTGAGAAGGTTGAAGTTATTTGGCATCACACACCACATCTTGAATTTTAAATTTTTGTGGTTTCAAATCTAACCAAGTGGCATACCACTTTTTTTTTTTTTTACGTTTAACATGCAGATTCATTAGCAAGAGTTCTTTCATTATTCTCTACTTGATTTTTTTTTTCGAGAAGGAACATTCATAGTTGGAATATGTGATTTCGTCGCTTTCTTTGAGTATGTGAAAGGATCGGATAATTGGTTAGCAACACTTTGTAAAAGAATAATTTTTGAATATTTTTTTTTACTTCATTCCCTTAACTTTTGTCGAGCTTAAGTGAAACATTAAATAATAAAGTACAAATTATGTGATTGAGATTTGTACAAAATAGATGGAAATAATAAAAAGTCATTAATTATTTAATTAAATGAGAGTGAAAAGGTTATGGTGGCAACCAAACAAGAAAAGGTACCAATATGATAATATTATGGAGAAATGCATGCATATTCTTAGACTCACATGCTTTTCTCTTTTGTATAAAATCCTGTTTGGTAAAATCCATATCGATTGCATTGATCAATTTTATTGAAATTCATGAAGTTCTGGTCGAATTGATTGGATTGACTGATTCAACTGATTTATGCAAAAATTATATTGATGATATATTATATGGAGTATTAATTAAATAAAGAAAAAATATATAAGAAATAATCAAAATAATCATCTACAATAACTTCAATCATTTTTTTTCAAAAAAATGAATAATTATCTAAACAGAAATTGAATAATACTGTAAGACTATTATGTCAAAAAATAAAGTCACCACAGGAATTCTAAATATTCTTTCATACGCATAAATCAGCCCAAGTGAGCAAATTGGCCCAACGATCCGTTTATATAACGCACAACCTCGGAAAATTTCCACAACTCGACTCAAGCGCATAGCTTTTCTCCTCATCTTCCACATCCCGAAACCCTATATCCGAAAACCCTACCTTGCGCCATGGCCAAGAAGCGAAAGTCCCGAGCTTCGAGCCGGCCTGCAGCCGAACCAGAGCAAATCCAAAATCAAGAGCCAGAGCAGGAAATACCGGATCAAGCTCCAGAGCAACAGGTAGAAGAGTTAGTAGAAGACGAAGTGGAAGAGGAAGCAGAAGGTGCGGATCTTGAAGAAGAGGATGATGAAGAGGGCGAAGAAGAAGAAAATCAGGAAGATGGGAAGGCGGATCCGATGAAAACAGATGCCGAAACCGGAAAAGAATTCCCGTCAATTGATTCCGGATCTACTCAGAAATCCAACGGGGAGGAGAAGGAGGTTACGTTGACCGATGAAGTAGATGACGACGACGAGCCACTTGAAAAGGTTCTTGAACCCTTCTCGAAGGAACAACTCAAAGCTTTAATTCAGGAGGCTGTGACCAAACACCCAGATGTCATGGTAAACGTTAACACATGGGCTGACAAAGATCCTGCCCATCGGAAAATCTTCGTGCACGGTCTTGGCTGGGATACGACTACTGAAACCCTGATTACCGTGTATGGGAAATACGGGGAAATTGAGGATTGCAAGGCCGTCATTGATAAGGTCTCAGGGAAGTCTAAAGGTTATGCCTTCATACTATTCAAGCACAGGAGCGGAGCAAGGAAAGCTTTGAAAGAGCCCCAGAAAAATATAGGCGGAAGGATCACATCTTGCCAGCTGGCTTCTGCAGGTCCTGTTCCGGCTCCCCCACCTACCGCTCCGCCTATATCTGAGTATACCCAGAGGAAGATTTTCATCAGCAATGTTGCAGCAGAGTTGGACCCCAAGAAACTGTATGATTTCTTTTCTAAATACGGTGAGATCGAAGAAGGACCTTTGGGGTTGGACAAGAATACAGGAAAACCAAAAGGGTTCTGTTTGTTTGTTTACAAGTCTGTTGAGAGTGCAAAGAAGGCTCTAGAGGAGCCTCAGAAGAGTTTTGAAGGGCATACACTGAATTGCCAGAAGGCAATTGACGGCCCAAAGCAGAGCAAGGGTTATTCTCCGCAACAACAGCATCAGCCACATTATTCACAACATCAGCAACAACCGTATTATCAGCACCCCGCAAAGAAGGGGAAATACTCTAGTGGCGGTAGAGGAAGTGCAAATACATCGGCAGGGCATTTGATGGCCCCAGGTGCTGGGACAGGACCGATTGGGTTCAATCCAGCTGTTGGTCCAGCTCTTGGACAGGCACTGACTGCATTGCTATCATCACCAGGAGCCGCTGGACTAGGGATTAGTAATCTACTTGGAGGACTTCCTGTGAACCCTCATGGAGCTCCACCTGCAGTGAACAATGCATCCGGGTATGGGGCCCAGGGTGGTGCAGGAGGATATGGGAGTCATCCGGGACTGCAGGGAGGATATCAGAACCCATCAATGGGTCAGGGAGGAGTGAGGCCACAAGGTGGTGCCCCCTGGCGTGGCCATTAAGTCCATTAAGCCTTAGAGAAGGTATATTCTTATTTTGCTTTCATTCTTAATATTCTTTGGTCTACTATATGCATAAAATTGAGGTTCTAGCTATGAATGACCTTAAAATAATCAAAGCTTGAACCCTTTTCAACGTTCTGGTCTTAAAAGACCCACATCATCATATGTTTACATGAAAATGGATGATGGAGGCCAAAAGTCTGTATGCATCATTTGGTCAAGGTTACCAAGTACAATTTTTTTTCTTGGATTTTTTTGTAAAATAACATAAAATATGAGCCTTGCTTTTTTGAATTTTGCTCTAGGGAAAGCTGATAGCATTGCACAATTAATCTACTTCGAGCTAGATAACTGATTCTAAGACACGGCCTTTAGTCTGTTTGTCTTGAGGCTCACATTTTCAGTAATGTTCTGTTTAATGAATACGGAGTATATACGAATGAGAATTTCATGAATAGTATAACAGCTAAAACATAAAAAGTTCTCACTACCCTAGTAATGTATGGTCTTAGTGAAGACAATTTGATTAGGGAAAAATCAATCAATTAAAATGTTTTGCATGCCAAAATGTTTCTTTAACATGCATCTGCAAGTTGTCATTTTTTTGCACCATTAGTCTCTTGGATTCAGTTACTTTCCACTGCGTATGCTGCTGCAGAGTGGACTGCTAAGGTAAGTACATTTTGAAGCTGTCCATGTCAGGGCGTTCAGTGTGAAGTGGATTGATGAAGTTACATTACTTTCATCCGAATACATTTTAATTATGCTGGATTTTCACACAATATTGGTCCTGTTCTTTCTCATTACAATTATGCTCGTTTACTGTTCTTTCTCATTACAATTGACTGATTGAGCTGTTGGATGCAGTTCTTTTTACATTCATTCTTCTTTACACATGCTTTTCAAACAAAAGGTTTTTATATTTTACCTATTTAACTTGCAGATACCTTCAAAAAAGCATCACTCTTTTTGTTTTGGACTGGTGATTCTTCTGAGGTTCCAGAATCAAAAGCAAATGATGTATTTTACTTTGGGAAAAAGTTACTGTTTGTTTAAAGACCAGAATGTTTATTTTCTACTTACTTGAAACAGTTTTATTCTAGCAGTTGTTTTCTAAATCTATGGCCACCTTTATGGCCTTTGTATCTCTGTAGCACTTCTCTTATCGCACTTTTCATTTAAAAACTAGTTGAGGTTCTGATAGTGAATCCTCATCAACATTTCTCTGAATTTTATTTGGACGGTTTCTCTATCATTTCAACATGTTTTTGTGGGAATTGGTTAATCTTCAAGCTGATTGAAATGTCAATTTGCAAATTACACATTTGATGCCTGATCCAAAACTTCACACAGAGGACGGCAACAAGATTTTTTAACAGTTATAACAAAATCTGCATCCATGCTGATACTTTTGGTGGATGGTTCTGATATATTTGTTTCCTTGGCAGCTTCTAATGTCTGATGTTGCAGGTGGCTTATTGCCTGTCTCCTATGCATCTTCATTCTATGGATCCACACCATCTAACTTTGCCATTAAACCATATTTAACTTTTTTCATTTATTGTTATATCTAACCAGATTCTTGTACGTCAAACAAAAGTTTCTTGTGCACTTGTGTTTGAGCATTTCAACCAATTTTCTCAAAAACTAAACATCATGTTTAACTTGGCTTTGCATTTCCATCAAGGTCTATAGAAGATTAAGATTATTCTACTTACCCTCATTATCAAGAAACCTTTAAAGTTTTTAATGAAAAGTCGTCTTGGACTTGAATTTATTTGGTTATCTAACTCATTTTAGAAACTCACTCACTCAAACACTTACTCATTATTGTGTCACATTCCCATACACATGTTGAATCTATACTTTCTTCTCCACTTAGTGCATTCTAGGTCATTAACATGGACATGCATGGTCAAAGTCTGCAATCTGCCATTGTCCTTCACATTGCTAGTGTCCTTGCAGTGGACAAATTGGAGCCATAAGTTGTTACCAAGGAGAATTTGTAAGCTTACATCTCTAAAATTCCATCTTCCATGCATCTCCTTTGATCTGTTCAATTAAAGCTTGCACAATAACATGGTACAAAAGTGTAATGCGACACATAGTTTGACTTAAATGACATTTTTTTCTTCAAAATTTTAATTTTTGACTTAGGAATTTGGGTCCTATCCATGCCCAACCTTGATCCTTCGTGTATTCCTCCGAAATGTGTTTTTGCCCGCAGTATGTTTTGTTGAAGACCTTAACCCTTTGTCCAATACGTAGACATGTAAATATAACCTGGGTTTCCTGAACTCTTTGATCTTATTTATAGATTTAACCAAAATCTGACTTCGGTTTTCTCACTATGCAAATAAGCTATTTACTTGCTGAAAAATGCTGGGTGTAAACGTTTTTTGTGTACACCTTTCGTAAACTTGTTTGTCTTTCGCACACATAGTTGTCCTTTCTCCCACACACAGTTTTGTAGGGCTCTACAAAGTGGTCTCTGCGGGGACAACAAACAATTATGTGTGCGTAAGACAGAAAAGCGTACGAAAAGTGTATGCCAAACACAGTCTTCTTGCCTGGGACCCACACTGAGTTCCAGGGATCTCATTATCCAGAGTGGCCTAAAAAACGATAGCATATCGTATTTTCAACTTACACAGTTGCACGATAGGAAGACTATATTGTCAGAATAGTAGACTAGTTACCTGAAACTTTTTTTTCAGAAGAGCCCTTTTCACAAATCAATTACTTATTACACTTCAAATAATTCTACATTTCTGTTTTTTTTACGTCAAATATTTTCACTCATTTTTGTTTTAAGCAATGTTGTGGATAGGGATGGACTCGGTGCGGGCCAACCGGCCCGCTACTGTGCGGGCCCGGACCGGCCCGCTACTGTGCGGGCCCGGACCGGCCCGCTACTGTGCGTGCCCGGTCCGGCCCGGTGAACCGGTTAGTGCCCGGTTCAGGCCACCCGGCCCGGTGGGCTTCTGTTCTGGGCTCGGGCCCTCCATTTGGTGAACCGGCCGGTTCGGGCCCGGTCCGGGCCGAATTTTATTTTTTTTTCTGAATTTTTTTTTTGAGTTTTTGGGTTGGGTTGGGTATTTTGGGCCATTTGAGGTGGTTTGCGGTGGTTGGGGGGTGAGGGGGTGGGTTGGGGGTTAAATAGGAGAAGCCAAAAAAAAATTACAAACCGGGTGGCCCGGCCCGGACCCGGAACCGGTGGCTACCGGTTCGGGCTCGGGCCCAACAAAGCAGAACCGCCAACCGGCCGGGCCTAGGCCCGAACCGGAACCGGTCCACCCCTAGTTGTGGAAGTTTTTCTTTATCCTAGTGGATTTTAAGCTCTGTTCAAAATTTTATTTCCTGGTCTGCTGGTCGGACAATTAAAGTTATGCACCATTTTAAAATGCTGTGTATCAAAAGCTCTGGTTGTTGCATGAACATTCCACCAATTAAAAGGGTTGTTATCCAGTGGTTAAAAAGCGAGTATATTTTGATTTTGTATATTCAATCCATTTTGGAAGAAGTTTAACTGCTGTGCTGTCATTCTAACACTTGAATATAATCCCGTTATGGTTTGCGTTGCCAAACACTGCCTCATTATCATTATGAGTTAAAAATGATTTCTATCTTTTCTGTAAAAACGATATCTGGAGGCATTTCCACCAACTGCTTTTCTTACAAAGGGTGAAAGCGCCATGTTTGCCTACTATCCTTATGAGTGCCCAGGCTGGGTAAATACAAATTTAAGAGTTCTTTTCTAAATTGATACTAATATTGAATTGTGAACAAAAATGTTCAAGAAATATGATCAACTAAAATTTGTTAGGAATTTTAAATTTGTGAACAAGTGTGTTACTAAAATGCACTATTGTAGTTATTTTAATTTAAAACTCGAAATTATTTTGTCATTAAAAGTTATTCGTTAACTTTTTAATTGTTCTTATTTTAGTCATATATTATGAATTATTTTTAATTTTTATGGAGTACAAAAGTTGTACAAATGTGTGTATACAAATTGCACAAAATACATGATCTTTCGAATTTTAAAATTTGGCTTCAGGTATTCTAGTCGATCTATATCTAATGTTATATAAAGATTTCGTTAGTATTCTAATCATCCATATTTGTCAAAAACACTTCATCTTTGTCACAATTCAACTCCTTATATGACTTTGAAAGTAAAATTGTAGTGTTCGCCTTTTTCACTTGCAACATATTGAATATTATTTGATACATTTTATTTATAATTTTATTTGAAAGTAAAATTCAAGGTCCGGGCCTTGAATTTGGCGAACCGGCCCGGCCGGGTCAGGCCCGGGTCCGGGCCAAAAACTGTTTTTTTTCCCCCCATTTTTTTGGGCTTTATTGAGTTGGGCTTGATGTTTAGGACCGGTTTGGGGGTGGGGGGTTTGGGGGTGTGGGGGTGTGGGGGGGGGGGGGGAGAAAAAAAAGAAACTAACCGGGTGGCCCGGTCCGGCCCGGAACTGGACCCGGAACCGGTGGCCACCGGTTCGGGCTCGAGCCCAACAAAACAGACCTGAGGCCTGGCCGGGCCTAGGCCCGAACCGGCCCGAGGCCATCCCTATGTAATAAGCTCATCACTATTTCATAGGGTATTGGAAATTGGCCTAAGCACAATTAGTTGTGATTAGACCTAGTTTCGTATACGAGTAGAGTTGGTGGAGCTTTTACAATTTCAACTTTTTTTAAGAAACAATTTCTAACCAACCCTGGTTAGGGGCGGACTAGGATTGGTGGGCTTGACCTGGTCCTCTTCAGGCCCAGAGCCTGGCCTGGGTCGGCTTACGGCGGGCTTCTGGGTCGTTTTTAAGGCCTGTCCTAGCTGGATTCAGGCTGTTCCCGGGCCCCGATTGTACTATTTTTTTACTTTACTGTCCAGGTCCGACCTTTGGTACTATTTAGGCCCGGTCCCGCCCGTTCCCTGTGCAAATATGGGCCGGTGCCGGGCCTGAAATTTTTAGTCCCGGTCCTGCCCAGTCTCGATCCATCCCTAACTCTTGTACTTGACAAATTTGCATTGACATTAAAATGGCTCAATTAGGATTTAGAAATCGGAGTCTCATAACAATTAAAAATAGAGGTATTTTGTAATCTGTCCTTTAAAAGTTATTAACAAAAAAGAACTCTTTTTGACATATTTACCATATTGGTATCCCTATTCTTCAAAATTCAAAAAAGGCCGGGTGTTTTTTGAAAGAAAAGGCCAGTCCTTTATAAAGTAGAAATAAATCATCTTTTACAATGTAGTTTTTAGTCCTTATTGAGCAAATGCTATGACCCTGAATCGATGAACATTTCCTGAATGATTTTGAGATTGTTTTTTGAACGTCTTAAATTATACGGAGTATTCAAAAACAAGACGTATTATTATTTTGTTACTTCCACTTTTATTAAGTTATTTTAGAAATGGTAACTTTAATTTTAATTTTTTAAAGTTGTGGACCGTTAAAAACCTTGGGACCCCATGAAGAAAAAGATCTGGGCTTGTATCTTGTCTTCAGAATTGGTATTCAATTAAATTCTGAGAAGTTGCTACAGCACCTGTTCCAGAGGAAGGATGGTGCTTGTGTCAAGTTTTGTGTTGTTTTGCGAAGAAAAGACTGTCCAGGGCATCTGGGTCAAGCTTACGGTGTATCCGATTGCTAGTGTATTTTGTTTTTGTTGTTCCTTGTCTAAGTATATTAAATATATGTATCTATCCTGAATAGAATGTTACAAGTCATTGATCATGGTTGGCGTAAGTCATTAACTCTATCTTCTTTATTATTTAAAAAGTTTTTTGATTGTGTGTTGGGCATGCAAAGTTTTAAAAGCTTTTTATAAAATAAGAGATTTTTTTTAGGTGCTACGGTGAGTATCATCCGAAAAGCCTATAATTTTCAGCATTAATGAGGCCTAACAATTTGTATGCCAAATAAAACAAATCAAATACTCATTTTTTATCAAATTGTTATTGGGGTGTTTGGTGAATGGCGTTTCGGCCTAAAATTAGTGATTTGGTCACTTTCAGCGGTTCGGATTGATGTTTTGAAAAAGGGCGTTTATGGTCAAACGGTTAAATTATCAAACATCTTTTAATAATCCGTCAATTTATTCTAGTAGTCAAATCCGCTAACTGAATCCGCTAGTAATAACCCGCTAACATAATCCTCTATTCGCTAAATGTCAAATATGAAATATCCCCATTATGTTTTTCTTTAAAGATTTTTCAATCAACTCAATAGTCATTAAAAA